TGAACAGAATCAAAAAAAAAAACAAGAAAAACAACAAAGAAAAAAAAAACAAAACAAAAAGAATTCCAAGAATATTTCTGATTTACGTTATGGGTGCGTTTCTCATTCATTTTATTTCATTTCTTTTTTTTTTTTTTTTTTTTATTCGATTCGGGCCATTTTTTTTTTTTTTTCTCTTTTCGATTCTTATTTTCATTCATGTGATCAGAATAATGAAATTCTTTTGGCCTCGTTTTTTTTTCGTCATTATTATTATTTATCTTTTCAATTGTCAATAAGAGAGAGAGAGAGAGAAAGTTATAAGAATTTTTTTTTCTTGTTTTCTGTCACACACACACACACACACACACACACACACACACACACACACACACACACACACACACACACACACACACACACACACACACACACACACTGTATTTGAATGATTCTATAGAATTGATTCAACATAATAAGAATTGATGAAGAAAATGCAAGAATCTGATAAATTAATGATTTTTTTTCTTTGTTTTTTTTCTTCAGATTTCATTTCATCGTTATTAACTTTGTTTATTCAATTCTATAAATTGATAAAAATATTGATGCTTCAGGCATCAATATTTTCTATATCGATCCCTCTGGTGGTAGAAATGGTGGCTGAAATCTTGCAACTAATAACCAGATTGTTTTTTGTTCTGTTCTGTTTTGTTTTGTTTTGTTCTTTCCATTCATTTTCACAATTTGGTTTCAATTTTGCTAATCGAGCAAAAATCTTTTTCTTTATCTTCTACACAATTGACGGCTAGCTTCATGATGATTTATAAGAATTAGAATTCTAGCTGAATAAATAAACAAACAAACAAACTTGAACAAATGAAACGAAACAAAAAAAAAACACATATTTTCTCTAGATTCGTTGGTTAGTTTTTTTTTTGCTTCAAGAATAATATAACCATAACCATAACCATAATAATAATAATAACCATGAATTTAGGTTTCACGAATTAGAAGAGCAACAAAAAAAAATCCATGTATTGAATTGAACAGTAACAACGTGAAAAAAAAATTTTTTTTTGGTAAGAATGTATCCAATGAAAATACAACCTAGCCAAATATACAGAAAAAATAACCAAAGACTATAAACAATGACAGCAGCAGCAGCAGCAGCAAAAAAAAAAAAAAAACAATGATTGCCCGGAACAAGCAAACACACACGCACACATACAAAAAAGAAGCCAGAATCCAGAAACAAAACAAAAAAAGAAGAAAATGATGATGGCAGAGAGAGAGAGAGAGAAAAAAAATACAATAATGATAATGATAATAATAATAATAAAATAAAAACAAGTATAAACGGGATGAATGAATGTGTGTGTGTGTGTATAATAATAATAATAAAATCAGCCCAAAAAATTTCGAATATTAGAACCCGAACCATGAGGCGAGTGAAAAAAAATGACTAAATGAATGAATGAATGAATATCCCGGACGACGGAACAAATAATAAATTTGAATTCTTGTCTGCGTGTTTTTTTTTTTTTTGTTGAGAATTGATGAGAATGGGCGAAATGAGAAAAATAAAACCCAAAAACAACAACAACAAACAACAAACAAAAAACAATTACGTTCCATTTATTCATCATTCGTTTGAAGTAGTAATGAAATGGTATAGAATTCATTCATTTGTTTTTTTTTTTGAATATTCAAAATATTCTTCTTTTAATGGATATATGAGATGTTGCAAAAAAATTCCAAAGAATTGTATAAATATAAAAAAACTTTTCTCTCATTATTGCAACATTCACGAGAATTTTTTCTGTTTCATCATCACCATTTTTTTTTTGGCTCATTTTCAATCAAATTTCAATGAATTTTATTTTGATTTCCATAATTTTAAATTATTATTTACCATATATTCCTTGGAATATTCCTTTTTTTTGTTTTGGCTAATAATGATATGAAATAAAAAAAAACTGGATGAAATTTTCAACAGAATTTCTTGATGATTTTCATATATGAATTTTATCTTTTCATTGAAATTGAAATTTTTTTTTTGGATCTCAGTAACGACGTCTGGTGGCAACTGTGTGTAGTTTTTTTTTAGCATTCGATTTATTGTTTGGAAAAAGTTTTTCTCTTTTTGTTTTGTTTTGTTAACCAAAGATTTTATCATCATTCATTTTCGGTGTGGGTTTTTTTTCCTCCGTTCGGATAGAAAATTTCGGCGAAAAAAAAAAATTTCATTAATTCATTCGATTCTGAAGAAAAAGTTTTACGTCGTCGTTGCTGCTGCTGCTGTCGTGTATTCGTCTACTACCAAAAAAAAAGTCTTTTTTTTAATTATCGATCCATGTTATGGTGGATTGAATGACTGTGAGTCAAGAGAAAAAGAAACAAGAATTGATAACGACAAAAACAACAACAACAACAGCAAAAAATTCGCATATTCCTCGATTCTGGATAAAAATCATTTTATTGTTTTTTTTTTGCTTCTTCTTCTTCTTCTTTATCATCATCGTTTCTTATCAACATTATCAGTGTTAATTAATTAACTGAATTTTTTAGCTTGGCCATATCTTTGTTTCGTTGTCATTTCTCATTCCCTTGTGTGTTGTTGTCGTCGTCGTTGTTATAATTGTCTTGAGAATTTTTTTTTCTGGTCTGTCTAGTTTTTTTTTGATTTTTCATTCATTCATAATTAATCAAAATCAAGTTGCAAAAAAAACAAACAAAAATCCATCAATTAATGATCTTCGAAATGAAATGAAAAAACCATTGGGCGTTGTAAATCGATCAATTTTTTTTTTGAAATTTATTAGTGTTTTTTTTCTACTCGCCTGTTTATTGCGTTGGTGGTATTCGCAAATTCATTGTGTTTCTTATCGGAATCAAAAAAAAATTCTTTCAAGAAGAATGAAAAAAAAAGTTTCCAGGGCAATCAAAGAAAATCTTTATTTTTTTTTTTTTTTAATATTCTTGTTATTTTCTGGTTCGCCCATGTTTTTTTCCACTATTCAGCCTGTCACTTGTGTGTGTGTGCAGTCTTATCTTTTGTACCATTCTTTTTTTTCTCTTCTGAAATAAAAATTCAACAGAATAAAAAACAAAATTCTTTTGCCTGTCAACGATATTCGTTGTTGTTGTTGTTGTTGTTGTTTGTTTGTTTGTTTACGACATCGTTGGCGTCAAAACAAACACAAACACACGCACACACACACAATGGGCAAAAAAAAAAGTTGAAAAAAAATCTATTAAAATTTATTTTCATTCAACAATGGTTGAATGTGGATGGATCTCAGTGGCACGATTGATATATTTTTTGTTCAAAAAAAAAAAAAAAAAATATTCACTTTTTGTCTGTTCATATAGTACAGTACAGTGCATGATTTTTGTCAACAACAACAACAACAACAACAACAATGAGTGAGAAAAAAAAAATGAAAATTGTTAAATTTTGCTCGAAGATATCGTGAATGAAAGTAATGAAAAAAAAATTTTTTTTTTTTGAAGGAAATTAGAAAAAAATGGTTGGTTGGCTGGTTGGTTTTATATTCATTCTAATATTTTCATCGGGAACTATTCGATCCATTTCCAAAAACGACAACAAGGAGATGGTAAAATATATTCATATATATGAATCTGTGGTTTTTTTCCACAGAAAGAGAGAGAGAAAAAAAAATCCAAATAAGTTTCAAATGTTTGCTCTGCGAGAAAAAAAAAAATGTATTCCCCATTTTGAAGCATGAGGCTCATTCATTTTTTTCCTCTCTCCAAAAAAAAAAATCATTCGATTCTGTTTTTCTTTTTTTTCTATTGTATACAGCGATTCTTTTCCATCAATTTTCTATTTTCCATTTTTTTTTTGTTGGCCGATGTTTGGTTCGTGAATTTTTTTTCATGAATCCGAAATATTTTTTTTTTATTCTCACTCTTCCGTCATCATATAGTCGTCGGCCGTTTTTTTTTGTATCAGCTGCAATACCGACAAAAAAAAATATGAAGAAAAAACTGGCCTGAGAAAAAAAAATCATCGTTACTGGTTGGTTGTGTTTTGGTTGTTGTCGTCGACATATTTATACATTGTGTGTGTGTGTGTGTGTGTGTGTAGGAAACGAGACAGTGCAATATTCAAATTTCAATACACAAACGACGAAATAGAATAGAATTCTAGTGATAGAATATGGCAATTTTTTTCCCATAAAATCACACCCTGAATCGAACAAAAAAAACACTGGGAGAACGAAAATAACCACCCATATACAATATATAATGCAGAATTGATGATAGTGAGAGAAAAAAAAAATTCCAGGATCAAAATTCGAATGTGTATTGATACTGTTGATTTTCGGGAATTTTCTGGATTTTGTTTAACGTCAAATTTTTGATCAATTTTCTTTATTTTTGTCCGATGAAAAAAAAAATATTTTTCTCGTCGTGATTCTGTTTGGTCGAGGAACCATTTTTTTCATTGCATTGAGAGGGCATGTCCAAATAATTTTAAAAATTTACTTACTTGAAACTTGGATGTAATTGACAATTAAAAAAATTCTAAATTCTATTTTCATTCATTTATTCTCATTTACAGGCGAAATAACTGTACGACAAGAACATTTAGATGAAGTGATACAGGCGGCAAATTTTTTTCAAATTCAAGGTGTTCAAGAATGGAATATTCGTTGCTGTTCAACAACAACGACAACAACAACGATGACGACGACGACGACGACAACGACAACTACACCAACGATAAACACCTCATCATCATTGAATAGTAGTATAGGAAATTTTAAAAAACGGATACTCAATAGCAGTCAACAGAATCATCATCATCATCATCAATCAACAACAGCAGCAGCAACAACAACAATGATGGATAATGATCCAACATCATCATTGTTAAATCATCATATGAATTCGAATCGAATGGATTTGAAATCATCGTAAGTTTTCTGCCAACTGCCTCCATCTAGTGGTCAATATTAAAACTATTTTTATTTTTATTTTTACAATCAAAACAGACATTTACAAAATCATCATTTCGAAAATGATCATCAATCACCAACAACAACCAAAAATGATGATGTACAACAAAAAGATTCAAATAATAACCTCAATCCTTCTGGATCTTCAGATTTGTTACATTCCATATCATCACCATCGTTATCTGCATCAACAACGATGGTTGATCCACCGCAATCAGATGTGGATGATTATGAACATCATCATTTGATCGCCAAACGTAAACGATCATCTGAATCAAATCAATCACATTCATCCATTGAAAATTCATCAAAACAAGGATCTCAATTATCAAACAATGTTGTATTAGAATCGGGTAAAAAAGTCAAATTAGAAACCGAAAATACAAAATTTGATTCACAAGAATCGCAAAAATCAACAAATTCATCAAGTCAACAAGTTCGATCTCAATTATTGTTGAAAATAAAATCAGGAAAAATATTTAAAAAAGAACAAGATGGTGACAATGAATTGACTATTATTGATGATTCGAAATTGGATGCTGATGATGATGGAAAAGAAGATCAAAATAAAATGGAACAAGAAGATGATGAAGAAGAAGAAGAGATAAATGTTGTCGATGATGATAAACCATCTTCATATGATAATGGTGTGAAAAAAGATGGTGTTGATCTTTCGAAATCAAACACGGTCAAACAAACCAATGGACGAATGAACAAACATTTGAATAGAAATGGTTCATCACGCAACAACAGTAATAATAAAACAGGTGTTCAATCCAATTTAGTCATATCGAGTGAAGATGATGATGACGATGCTGATGATGATGATGATATTGAAGATAATGATCTAGTCGATGATAGTTTGGATGATGATCTTGTCGATGATGATGGATACTATGTTACTGATGATTCAACGAATGGTGTAGATTTATCCATTAATCGTTTATCAGTAAAAAATGGTTCTACCCATAGGACTAATGGTCGTCATTATCGAAATGGTAAAAATCGTCACAATTCGTCAATTTATGATAAGCTTCTTGGAAAAACTAGCAGCAACAATATTCTTACACATTCTGATTCGTTAGCATCAATGTCAAATGGTTTAGTATTACCTACATCATCAACGATAACATCTACAGGATCGCCAGCATCATCTTCACCATCATCATCGTCTTTTGCAGCGGCAGCCGCTGCAGCTGCTGCAGCCGTTGCTGCTGCTCGTATTCAAATGATGTCACAAATGTTTTCAACAACGAATCAATCAACAACTACCGCTAATTCATTATTGAATGGAACCTCAGCGTTCACTGCTAATGGAAATTCCATTTCGAATGGACAATCCACACCAGGACCAATGAGCTTGTCAACTTCACCTTCATCATCAATTTATGGCTCATGTTCATTACCGGCAAGTGTTACATCAACATTATCATCGGCAGCCGCTCGTGCAATTGCTGCATCAACATTGGCCACATTTGGACCATCACCATCATTGGGTGTTGATCAATCACCAACAGCAGCAGCTTTGTCATCATTTTCAGCATTCAATTCAAATTTATTCATGGCAGCAGCGGCTGCAAGTCAGCAAAATAATTCTCCAACATCCGTTGTTCAACAACAACAACAACTACTACCACCACAATCGACACCGTCGCCTGCCTTATCTGCAAATGGGTCTACCGGTTCAAGTGGTGGTGGTGGTGAAAAACGTGGTCGTGGCCGTCCACCTAAATATGGTGGCAATAGTAGCAATAACGGTAATAGTGATAATAGTAATAATAAATCGAATAATCGAAACGATAATGGTAATTCGAATTCGAATCTAAACAATTTATTGGATACTTCATCACCATTTCCTGAATTATTTTATCCAATAACAACAATGACCAATAATCATCATAATCATCATGATAATAATTCAGCATCATCATCACCTCAACCACCACCGATTTTATCATCATCATCTAATAATTCCAAATCTACAAGTAAGATTGATAAATGTTTGAACAAGAAAAATCATTAATATTTAAAAAATTTAAATTATTAGGTTCACACAATAAACACAATGGAACATTATCATCATCACCAACAAAAAATGGAAAAACTTTAACAACTACGGCAACGACAACAACATCATCAACTTTATCCTCATCATCATCGTCATCATCATCATCATCCTCATCTTCATCAGCAGCAGCAGCCAATGTTGTTATTAATCAGAATCGTTCAAGACGTGGACGGCCACCAACATTATCAGTCGATGATATGGTACAACGTTTGCAGTCTGGTCGTGAAAAAGCCGGTCAAAAACAATGTCCACATTGTCCCCAAGTGTATTATGGGTATCATGCAATGCATGATCATATTACATCCGTACACTTAAATTCAAATGAAAAATATCCATGCCATTTATGCGATAAAGAATATTCATGGCGTATAACATTGCGAAAACATTTGAAATCACAACATGGTGTGCATCCAGATGTTATTAATTAATTAACTAATGAATTAATTCACAAAATTACATATATAGTTTTATATAGATATATAATATATAATAATTTATTTGCAATATTTTTTTCGTCTTTTTCTTTATTGCATTATCATCACTATTATGTCATCATATATGAAAATTGTGTTTTGATCATCATTAACATGGTCATCTGTATATCACATTTGTATTCACATCATCTAAAATATGAATCTTTTTTTCTGCTTTCTCAAATTTTATTTGTCTTGTCACAATTCATAACACAATAAATGAATAAAAATTCTTTGATTATTATTTGTCAAACATTTGCATTTTTCTCCTGGTAAATAAATAGTAAAAAAAAACCAAATCAAACGCTACAATAGCCGATAATAATTCAAATTCAGTTTGGATTTGTCATTTTCTCGATTCTGAACTGGTCATGTTAGGTTGGACATTTGGCATACAACGGTTTTACTCAAAATTATTTATTACAAACCGATCATATTCTGCAAGAAATTTATCCAAATCTTGTAGCCAAAGCTGTTCTGCTTTTAACTTTTTGATTTTTTCTAATTCTAATTTGGTTATAATTTTTATTGCTTCGTTAAAATTTAACATAAATAATCAGATAAATAATTTTTATAGCGGAAATAACCCTAGAAAGGTAACCTTATCGATATTGCGGGAAAGGTAACCTACGTAAATTTTACGTAGTTGATATGCCTAACTTATTTCCGCTATAAAAATTATTTATCTGATTATTTATGTTAAATTTTAACGTTTATTCGTTGAATCACACCTCTATTTTATATTAAAGAAGAAAAAATCTTTTTTCAAAAATGGAAAGTTCAAAAATATCAAATTAAAGATTTACTGTAAATTTTGAATTTTTTTTTTATTGTCAATTTTGAAATTATCACAGCGTCAAGAAAAAATGAAAAATGATTCTGCAAATATGATTAATCAATCGATGATTGTGTATCAAAACATGATTGACAAATTTTTATCTGATATTCGCCACGGTGGCGGTGCCACAACGTTTACATCCGGACGTTGTTAAACGCTTTTTGCAAGCATTTTAATTTTGAATAAAGTGAAAAACATAAACAAATGAACAGAAAAGACGTTTATTTCAAAAAATATTCATCAAACGATAATAATGTGCCAATGGTACTAATGATGATGATGATTTTGGTCGACTCATATTTTTTTTTTTTTTTTTTTTGAGTACGTCATATAAGAATGGTGGCTGTGAATGAGCGTTTTTTTTTGTTGAGTCAGTGATTGACTGCGCAACTCAGTGAGTCAATGTTCTATTGAAAATAGTGATGATGATGATGATAAAAGAAACGTTGCAAATCCGTTTTCTTTCAATTCCGTTTTCGACTTGCTCAAGTGTGGTTTGATTTTGATTTTTCATTTTTTGTCCACATTTTTATTTCATCATCGTCGAAATCAAATCATCATCACCATCAAATCATAATTGGTTCAATTAATTTATCGCAATCAATTATTGAACGGTTAATTCACCAGTTTTTTTTCATTGTTGGCATGTTTGATTTTTGTTTTATTTTCTTTTATGTCTGTTTACCGTTTTCGAGCAGTTTTTCTGCGCGGTGTCGTCATCTAACACGAATAAAATTAAAAAAATGGAATTCATTAATTTTGGTGATGATCAACAACAACAACAACAACCACCACAATTCATATTATAATTATTAATTAATTATATAATTATTATAACTGCACATATGCTGGTTGTAATTTTAGAAAAAAATATAGACAATGTTGTATAGAACACATTGCCAAAATACATACACACACGAAAATCATACCACAGATTAAAGAAACAGTGGTACAGCGCTAAAGTGGTAACAACAACAAAAACGTGGTATGATTTTTGTGCGTGTATGAACATGCGGTTTCCATGCAAGATAGCTGGTTGTGAAAAAACATTTCGCCATCAATGCTCAGTGTATAGGCATATTCATATGAAACATCAAAAGAAATGCCGGCCAGCACCACCATCATCTTCATCATGACCATCTCCATCTCTAAAACCGATAAAAGATGATAATGATAGAGAAGAGTTTTAAGAAATAACAAGCACGAATAATAATGTTTAATCAGAACAAACATATATAAATATCAAGAAAACGTATTGTTTAAACTAATCAAATAACGAATATTCTAGTAATGAACGGCCGTTACAATAGGTTTTCATGTCCATATCAAGGCTGTGAAAAAAATTATACATCTTTAAATATGTGTAAACAACACATATCATGTATCCATCACAACGAACTAATTCGATGCCCTATACCGAATTGTGGAAAGGTATATAAATATCCAAGATGTGTATCGAGGCATCTCTATGCAGAACATTATAATGAATATAATGAATACTCGCCAGCACCATCATCATCATTATCTACACCATCAACTTCAACATCACAACATCTAAAGCCGATAAAAGATGATAATGATAAATATCAATGTCCATATTATAGTATGAATATAATAAAAAACACAAATAATAAACACACTAATAATAATTTTTTAATTAATTAATATTTCTTACAAACTCATTCATATTTATACTGCTTTTAACAATCAATTAATAATTGAATTAATTGTAATATTTGACATATTACAACACATATGGCTGTCAAAAAAAATATACATCTTTAAATATGTGTAAACAACACATATCATGTATCCATCACAACGAACTAATTCGATGCCCTATACCGAATTGTGGAAAAATATATAAATATCCAGCAACTATTTACAGCCATATGAAGAAAAAACATAAAGATGAATGGCCACCAAAAACATCATCATCTACATCATCATCTACACCATCATATTCAACATCATCACATCTAAAGCCGATAAAAGATAATAATAAAAATTATCAATGTCCATATCATGGCTGTCAAAAGATTGTGGGTTAAAATAGCCAAAATGAAAATAGCCAAGACTGAAAATAGCCAAATACTGAAAATAGCCAAATACTGAAAACAGCCAACTCTGAAAATAGCCGAAGCAGAAAATAGCCAAGGCTGAAAATAGCCAAACCCTAAAAATATCAAAATACTGAAAATAGCCAAGGCAGAAAATAGCCAAATACTGAAAATAGCCAAAAAAAAAAAAAAAACAGCGAAATTAATTGGCGCAAAATGAATCGTATTCGAACATAAAATACATATACATTCAACCTTTGTCCTGATAACAACTGTTGATTTTTTTTTTTTTCTTGCTGTAGTTGGTCAGACGAAACCAACAATTCTATTATTGAATTGATGTTTTAAGATTGTATAAATACGAATGTATTTACTAAGTTAAAATTATTATTAATAAAGTTGATATTTGTATAATTATTGTTTGTATTACAACCTTTTCATACAACATTTTTTGTTAATCATTAAAATATTTTTTAATCAACAATTTATGGATCTAATTGTTGACACAACCCACCGGTGCAATCCCCTAACCTAAACTAGGTTCCCTTGCATTCCACATGCAATGATCAGGAATGATTTATTTATTATATACCAATTCAATCAAACAAATACATCTCGGACCTTTCACAAATATTTCATTTAATGAGTAATATTATATTTTCATCATAAGGCACCGATGAACCGATTTATAGTATTTTAGACTTTGATCTCTATTCTAGATTGTTTGATAGGATAGCCTAGAATTGTCAATTACATTTAGAATTTCTCCAAACCTCACCTTCTTCAAGGTGAGGAAAATTAATCAACACGTGGAATCCTTCGGTTGCACAAATGATAATGATTTGAATAAGTATATATGATTTTTGAAACTAATGGAATTTTTATATTCTGAGTCGTATTTCTTTTGAAGGTTTGTTCGAAGCATTTTCTAACCTAACCTAACCTCATAAGTTGATGATTTTGACGGTACAATTACACATCTTCAAAAATGTGTAAACATCATATATCATATATGCATCACAATGAAGTTATAAGATGCCCTGTAGACAGTTGTAATCAAATATATAGATATCCTTCAAATCTTTACAGGCATATAAGAAAAATCATAAACTTGAATGCCCTTTTCTGGAAGATGACATTTGTACATGAACTAAATGGTTTTGTTTTGATGAGAATCTAATAATGTAGAATCATTTAGCAAATTTCCATCATATATTTGTTATTACTTAAACTTAATGAAAAAATGTAATTGTACCGTTATTGGTGACGTATTTATATACTCACATTTATAATATTCATTCTTTTTTTTAAAACGATTATTGTTCCGTATGTAATACACAGCTAATTAATAAACAACATTTTAATATTACAATTTTGTGTTTGTTTTGTTTTTTGCTGAAATATTATCACACTCCACAATGGAGATTATTGCCCACTGCCTCAGAATAATTTTGCTGATCTTTTTATATGATGACGATTTCGTTCATCTATCTTTTTCTCCACAAAAAAAAACACTAAAATAGCCGATAATTTAATTTTATAAAAAATAATTTATTATTCAAAGAAAAAAGAGAAAAAAGAAAAATAAAAAAAATGTCAGGTGTTATTATTCCAAAATGGCCAAAAATTGTGGATTAGGAATTTTTGGTTTTTCGTTTACCAGCAATAAAAAAAATTATTATAATACAAAAAAAAATTTTCTATTTACAGAAAAAAAAATATAAAAAAAATCATCATTATCCCTAGAAAAATAAGATCGATATTAAAATTTGTGTTATCATTCTGTGTGTATAGGTGTGTGAATTATTAATTAGGACACAAAAAAAAAGAAATAGCTGCCATATTGTAAAGGAAATACAAATGTTTTCTTTGAAAAAAAAGTCAAATGGTCAAATGTTAACGATTCGGATGATGATTGTTGTTGAGTAGCCATATGAATCCATTTGAATAACGACCAATATTTACTGCAATATGATTTCGATATAAATTTTTTGCACCATAACAAACATTGGTAACACCAAAACAGAAACATTCTATACATCCAGTATGGCTACAAGTGAAATGAATGAATGAAAAAAAAGACGAGACAAAAAAGAGAAAACAAAAGTAAAAACAAAATTTTTTTTTTTAAGAAAAAAAAGTCATTATCATCTGACATTCTCATATACCATGCTGATGATGATGATGAAGATGATGATGAAAGATGTTGTTGTTATATTGTCGATTATTATTATTATTATTTTATTATCATCATCGTTATAAGTAACAACAAAATGTTGATGATTATGGCAGTTAAATTCATCACTATCATCAAGACAATTGGCTATACCATCACAATAATATTGATAATCGATACAATGACCATTAATTTTACATATAAACATTCTATGATCAGATGCTTTTGTTTTGTTTTTTTTGTAAAGATATCATGGGTTTCCAATCAACAAAACATTTAATACAATGATGATGATGATGATAATTAATTCTAATAATAATTTTAATAAAAAAAAACAAACGAGTTATTTATTTGGAAACTAAATGAATGAAAAAAAAAAATTGAATTGTGAATCAGGAAAAGATAGACAGTGTGTTTGTTAGTTCGCAGTACAGAAAATGAATTGAATTGAATTTTGTGCAAATTATGAACACAGATTGGATAAATTGGAAAAATGAAAAAAAAATTCAAATGTGTGTGTGTACGATCATCTTTGACGCCAAATGATGATGATGATTCAGTGGTAATGAAAATTTCGTGGGTTCTAATAATCTAAATTTATTGCTTCCTGTTGGTCAATTTGGAAGTCGTAAACGTGGAGCAAATTATCCTGCAAGTCCTCGATATTTATCAACTAAGTTAAATCCGTTGACAAGGATATTATTCCCACAATTGGATGATCCTCTGTTAAATTATCTTCAAGTTGATAATTTAAAAAACGAACCCAAATATTTTGTTAAAATAATTCCCTTTGTTCTGGTGAATGGAATGGAAGGTATTGCTTGTTGTGAAACAGCTTAGTTTAGCTGTGTTCTTTAATTTAATTATGGAACTGTTTCGAGTTTCTTTCCGAGCTTAAATATTCGCTCTGATTTACGATTATTCATCATAAGTTTGTTCTGTTTTCTTTTCAACCCGAATATACTAATTGTTAATAAATCTATATTTGTTTCAAACCAATTTTACGCTACGTCATCCTTTCCGTGGTTTTACAATTGCTCCCGGTTTGAATACGTTTATTCCCAATTATAATCCCCATGAAATTGTGGAAAATATTAAACGGTTAATACGTGGTGAAAATCTTGAAGAGATGAAACCATGGTATTCAAACTTCACTGGAACAATTATAATTTGACCATAATAATGAAATTTCGATTGTTTTGGATCATTAATACTTTACTAATTGATGGTTGTAATAAATCAGCAGTTGATGATGTTGTTGATTTCCTAATTTCCGTATGTTATCTAAAAGAAAAAAAATACGTTAAGCAATGAGATAAAATAATCAAGGATGATGATTGAGAAAAATAAAATAAAGCAGTTAATTTATTGTGGTTTTTTAAATTTCATATATAGAATCAATATTCTATTGTTATAAGTAATAATACAGTAATTAATTATTTACAACAGCCCTCCCAAAATTAAAGACGTCTTTGATGATAATTTCTTTAGTTTTTTGTTTAAATGGTTTTGTAAGAAAATCACTCAGCTGTTTTTCACCAGGAATATATACAATTTTACATTCATTTTGATTTAAATTATCTAGAACATATTCTCTTCTAATATCTATATGTTTAGAATGTCTTTGTGGTCCATCTTTAAAAATCTTCATTGCGGACTGATTATCAGTTTTAATTACAAAACATGGTCTTTGGGACTCTATATCAGTGATTCTCAACCTTTTTTTTGTTGCGGTACACATTTTACGATTTCAAAATTTGGCGGCACACAAAGAAAAAGCACTGCGTAAAATAGATTGTGATAATGATTTTAAATGTGCTAAATAAAATAATATATAATATGTACTACAAAAATAACAGTATGTAGTGTATTTGTTGTTAATTCGTTTATTCCAGTTCAGAATCGAGAAAATGACAACTCCAACCTAACACGATCAGTTCAGAATTCAAAATTCAAAATCCAGAAAATAACAAATCCAACCTAACACAATCAATTCAGAATTCAAAATTCAAAATCCAGAAAATAACAAATCCAACCTAACACGATCAATTCAGAATTCAAAATTCAAAATCCAGAAAATGACAAGTCCAAACTAACACGACCAGTTCAGAATTCAAAATTCAAAATCGAGAAAACATCAAATCCAAACTAACACGACCAGTTCAGAATCCAGAAAATGACAAGTCCAAACTAACACGACCAGTTCAGAATTCAAAATTCAAAATCGAGAAAATAACAAATCCAACCTAACACAATCAATTCAGAATTCAAAATTCAAAATCCAGAAAATGACAAGTCCAAACTAACACGACCAGTTCAGAATTCAAAATTCACAATCGAGAAAAAGGCAAATCCGACCTAACACGATCAATTCAGAATTCAAAATTCAAAATCCAGAAAATAACAAGTCCAAACTAACACTACCAGTTTAGAATCGAGAAAATGGCAAATCCAACCTAACACGACCAGTTATGAATTCAAAATTCAAAATCGGGAAAATAACAAGTCCAAACTAACACGGGTCGAAAAAAATTTTAAAATCTCATACCGGGCCCCGTTCAAAAAAGTTTGGGAAAAGCTGATTTATCTTACAAATATTCATCGGATCAAACATTCCTAATATGTTGATCATTTATCAGATTTGAAATTTCAATTAATGCTGCCTGTTAACCAATTTCATCACCCATTTGTATTTTTCAACTTCTTAAATAACGTTCGTAACCAAAATCATGATTTTCATATTTATACTGACTGTTCAAAATTGGCTGGTCGTGTTGGATTTTCCAGGAGGAATTATTTGCAATTTTCCAAGCATCATTATGGTTGAAAAGAACAAACCAATCTGCAAGAATTTTTATTGATTCGTACTCTTCTGTTCTTGCAATTCTGAAAATAAATCATTTTCAACAAAGATATTGATGAGCAACAAGCAAAAGATCAAAATACGACTTACGTTGAGGCTTATATTAATTGATTTTATCGATAATTCACAATTTTCACAAATTTATAAATAAAACAAATGAATTTTATTCGAAATCACCATAAAAACAAATCGGATAGAATAAATAGCACAACTGACACAGAACATATGTTCCGCTCTCTCAATGACCATATTCATACCTTGAAAGTAAATATGAATAATTTTAGAATTTTATTACTTGTGTTATGAATCGTAATAATTCGACCAATTTTCGTATTTGAAATGAACCTTTGAAGTTTTATATGATTTAAAAAAAATTCTCTCGATTTTGAATTCTGAATTGATTGTGTTAGTTTGGACTTGTTATTTTCTTGATTCTGAACTGGTCGTGTTAGGTTGGATTTGTTATTTACTGGATTTTGAATTCTGAATTGATTGTGTTAGGTTGGATTTGTTATTTTCTGGATTTTGAATTTTGAATTCTGAATTGATTGTGTTAGTTTGGACTTGTTATTTTCTTGATTCTGAACTGGTCGTGTTAGGTTGGATTTGTTATTTTCTGGATTTTGAATTTTGAATTCTGAATTGATTGTGTTAGGTTGGACTTGTTATTTTCTTTTTGAATTCTTGATTTTCTTGATTCTGAACTGGTCGTGTTAGGTTGGATTTTTGAATTTTGAATTTGAATTGATTATTTACTGGATTTTGAATTTTGAATTTTGAATTCTGAATTGATTGTGTTAGGTTGGATTTGTTATTTACTGGATTTTGAATTTTGAATTCTGAATTGATTGTTTAGTTATTTTCTGATTTTGATTTTGAATTTTGAATTTGATTGTGTTGTGTTAGTTGGATTTGTTATTTCTGGATTTTGAATTTGAAATTTTGAATTGATTGTGTTAGGATTTGTTATTTTCTGGATTTTGAATTTTCGATTTTGAACTGGTCGTGTTAGGTTGGATTCTGAACTGGTCGTGTTAGGTTGGATTTGTTATTTTCTGGATTTTGAATTTTGAATTCTGAATTGATTGTGTTAGGTTGGATTTGTTATTTTCTGGATTTTGAATTTTAAATTTTGAATTGATTGTGTTAGTTTGGACTTGTTATTTTCTCGATTCTGAACTGGTCGTGTTAGGTTGGATTTGTTATTTACTGGATTTTGAATTTTGAATTCTGAATTGATTGTGTTAGGTTGGATTTGTTATTTTCTGGATTTTGAATTTTGAATTCTGAACTGGTCGTGTTAGTTTGGATTTGTTATTTTCTCGATTCTGAACTGGTCGTGTTAGTTTGGATTTGTTATTTTCTCGATTCTGAACTGGTTGTGTTAGTTTGGACTTGCCATTTCTAGAATCTAGCACTTTTTGTAAAACATTGATTAATAAAAAATTGTTTAAAGAAGAATTGCTTTTATTTGTTTGTTTAATTATACTTATTTTTCCTATGTTGGTTCCACTACAAACAATTCGCACAACTATTAATAGATATTTGAATAATCGAAGTACATGTTTTTGATTCAGGATTACCATAATATTCAAATGTATCAAAACAAAAAATATTTTCATTTTATTAAATCTAAAATTTCGCGGCACACAAAAGTGCCGCGGCACAGTGGTTGAGAATGACTGCGTTAGATGAATCAAAAAAAAAAAAAATACAAATGAAAATAAAAAAAAATTTACTTAATCTTAAATACTTGGAAACGAAAAAAAAATTCCACTAAAAGGCGAAAAAAATAGCCAGTTTTCTTCACAGAATTATTGACGCAAAACAGAAAAAAAATTTATGTACACAAGAAATTAATCAAGAATCATTGGAATTTTTGTTGCTAAAAACATAAAAAATAATCATGTGTAAAATGTACATTCGAAATATTCATCCGGACCGATGAAAAAATTTATTCTTTTCCCGGACTATGAATTTGACACCGCATGACACACACACACACACACACACACACACAAAAAATTATGTGATCAAATAAATGGGATAGTAAATATCGTTTTTGATTGGGCTATACAAAATAAAATTCCTGTGAATAAAGAAAAAACCAATGCTCTTCTTTTATCGAAAAAGAACAAACCAACACCAAACAATCTTATAATCAAAACGGTCGAATCAACTAAAATCCTTGGTGTAACTTTTACGAGAGACCTTAAATTCAATTTACATGTTAAGAAAAAAATTTTGGAAGCTTACAAATATTTACAAATCCTCAAAACATATGTATCGCACAAATTTGGTTTATCAAGTGATAAAAGAATCACTCTATATAATTGTTTTGTCAAGCCTAGCCTTTTAAATGCTTCAGAAATATGGTCAAATAATATTAATTATCAATCAAAAAGAAGCTTGGTCACACTTGATAATGCATTATTAAGAAATGCAATTAATGCTTTCAAATCTACACCGATCGATTGTCTTCATCTACTAACACGTACTCCTCTGATTAATGATATACTAATTTTGAGAAGAAATTCAGCTGCACTTAAAATACGCAAAATTCCTGTTGGACCAGTAGATGCACTGAACAATAACATAATAATCATGGGCAATTGGAACATCGAACACGACATTACTATTGACATAAATTATCAATTCAATGATCATTTCATTCTTTGTCACTCTTCTATTAATATTGTACAAGGAAATCACACATTCGACGTTTACACAAAATACTGGTTTCATACTGGCTTAGTTGATGCAATAGACAATAGCATTCGGAAATCTTTAAAATTGCTGCTCAACCACCACTATTTACATCAATCAAAGATTATTGTATACACACCAATAAAATCTGGTCTCTACAAGATTCAGACAATTTCATCCAAAAATATTATGAAAATTGTTCAATTTTTGAACTTATCATATTCAACAATTTATGTAAAACATATTGAACGATACACATACACAAATCAAGTTGACGTTTCACGAATTAAAATCAGCTTTAAGTACTATGCCAAATCAAAAATCAACGAAATCATTAAATCACATCTGAATGAATCTATGGTTAACTTATCAAATAATTGTAACAAAGAAGAAACGACAACTCTAATAAATCATAAAAATTTCAATATAAATCTAGTTAACCAAGAAATTACATCCTTATGCACAGGCCACGGCCCAACAAGGGCGTACCTGTTTAATAAACGAAAAATTGGTTTATCAGCAAATTGCCCTGTGTGCAATTCTCCACAAAATTATAGCCACATCACCACATGTCCGATGTTTGATGACATTATGAACATCTTTGAAATTAACGGCAACGAACATTTGACCTCCACAATTGGTAAATTGTTAAATAACAACAAACTATCTGATTTCTCCCATCTCGTCCACCGACGCTTAAGGGATATGAATGAACGCCTTAAATTCATCATTTAAAGCTCTATTCTTAATTTTATCTCTTATCTACATGATTATTATCATTGTATGACTTTTATTCTCGTTTTTTTATTGTATTTACATTTTTCATTATTTGATAATTTTAAATAAAGCTAGGAGTCATGCTCCGTTAAAAAAAAACACACACACACACACACACACACACACACAGCAAAAATAGTTCCAGTTTTTTTCGATTAGAATTATTTAACGAAGAGAAAGCTGAATTGGTCGTAATCGATTGGTTTATACTTGAGAGATATGAATTTCTTTCACAGATAAATGTGTTATTATTAAGATTTGACAAGAGGTCTTGGAAGTATTGATTCAATAGTTATATAATATTCAATAAATAGGCTTTTAGAATGATATAAATGATTTTTAATAATAATGAATAACTGGTAAACTATTACACCATTGATCGCACTAATTAAATATGCTTTTATAGTGACATTAAACAGTAAAACAATCTTTCTTTCAACAATTCAAACAGTTAAGTTTGATTAAAATTTCATAAAATTCCTTGAACAATTCTCGGATCAATTAGATAATTCGATTGACACCTTGGATTGGATATCAAATAGGAAACGACGCAGGATATTTCATTTTGTGTGAACAAATTACAGGTTTTCAGTAGAAAATGAGAATTGGAAAATTTTGATTTTAACTTAAATGTATTCAAAGAAGAACATTACAAATTGACAATACAGTAATAGAAACTGTTGGAGAGAAATAAAAATCAATTGAAATAGACAAAAATTGCATCTGTTTTTGTATCTTACCATAACAAATTCTCGCATCGATATGAGCTGCAATTTTCCATATGTAAAGCCATATTTATTCTCAGTATGATATGCATGGCCATAATTAGACAGTTTCAATAACAATGATAAATTCTTCATACGGGATTGTCCACTGGATTCACGAGCCAATAGATTCAAGAATCGTGTAGATGATTCATGAAAATTTTGATTACAAATGGCAAACAATAAATGAACACCAAATATGCACACTATTTGTTGACAAGCAAAAGTGGATAAAACCAAAGAATAGACCAAATCTGAACGTCCAGACATTATGAATAAGATGATGTAACAATTGATTGAAACATTAACGAATATAAATACAGTGACCGTTTCACAATAAACATTTCCCCATTGTATTAATTTCAGATTATATGTATTGAAATGTTGAAAACGTTTCAATCTTTGAAAAATCGATACACGGCTTAGATTGACTAATAATTGTTTTGTTTGCCAAACATTTATCAGAAAGATCATCAGATATGGCAATAAACAAAGAGCAAATAGTGCACAACATTGGGCATAAATAACATGGAAAAATTCATATAATTTCCAAAAGAATGTCATTAACATTAGCCACATAGCGTGATTTAGAGAAACCAAAATATTTCGGTTGAATATAGCGAAAAAATAGTTCAAATTTTCAAGGATAAATTTTACTAATAATAGTTCCATTGATATGATAATCAAAACTGAAATGATGAAACAAATCAAATTTATTATGATTACAAAACATTTTGAATGACTCACTAGTTATAAACATAAAAAGATTGACCATTTTGATCGCCATCATGGCAATATCTTTGGCTACTTTACCTGCCATTCTAGTGCGATAACGATATGGTGGATGAAATTGTTGTCTATCTTGTTGAAATAATACAGCATTGAGAATGGAAACAGTTTGATTCCGGTAATAAAGCCGATGAAGATAATATTGGATCTGTATGACGAACATGATGATAAACAGAACAAGAATACGACGACCTACTGGTGTGATTGCAAATAGATTAGCAGTAAGATAATTATTAAAAGTATTGCTATCGTCTTGAAACATTTGAACAATAGGATGGATAATGCATATTAATAAAATTAATTCGATGAAACTAACAACTTGACAAATGGAACATTTCTCATGATGATGTTGACCAATCCATGATAAACGAAATTGTTTACTAATCTGGTCACAATCGAATTGTTTACATTGTCTTTGTGGATCATTGTACATATCGAAATATCTTTTCATATAATTCAATCCATCTAATCGTAGTAATGGACTAATCATTCTTACTATACCAATGGAAATGATTCGAATGGATAGGAAATTTTTCCGAAAAATTTCAATCATTTTATTCATTGTTATGACTGAAAAGAAAATTTCTTGTGAACATAAATATTCGTTAGATGAATCAAAAAAATAAAAAATAAAAAAAAAATTTACTCTTAAATTTAATCTTAAATACTTAGAAACGAAAAAAAAAATCCAATAAAAGGTAAAAAAATAGCCAGTTTTCTTCACAGAATTATTGACGCAAAACAAAACAAAAAAATTTATGTACACAAGGAATTCATCAAGAATCATTGGAATTTTTGTTGCTAACGATATATCAAATGTAAAATGTACACTCGAAATAATCATCAGGGACTGATGAAAAAATTTATTCTTTTCCTGGGATATGAATTTAACCTCACACACACACAAAAAAACAGTTCTAGTTTTTTTTTCGATTAAAATTATTGAACGAAAAAAAAGCTGACCTGGTCGTAATAATCAATTTATTCATATTTGAAAAATGAATTTCTTTCACGGTAGATAATTGTGTTATTTAAAGTCTATGATGATTAAATGTCGATATTTTATGGTCCAAAATCTCTCCTATTTAATTTGTCATTGGTATTTAATACATAAAATAATCGACATTGATTAATAATAATAATAATAATAAAGAATCAAAGCAGCGAAACAAATTGATAAATATAACCACCACAATGAATTCGGTTGAGCTCGGTCAGCGAAATGATCAAAAAAAATTTCATATCACAAATCACAAATATATGTGTGTTGATTGATAATAAATAAAACACAAATCGAACAACAAAATTTTCATGTCAATGTCAATCGCATTAAAAATATTTAAAAAAAAATTGGTTCATTTTATCATCATCGTCATCGTGATTTTCAACAGAAAAAATATGACATGAAAATTATATCAAATATAACATTACCTCGTGCATGCGCATCAAAACAAAAAACACATGCATAATGATCACAAGGTAATTGAAGTGATAATGATAAAAACTTTTTTTTTGGATTGATTAATATTCAATATATATAAATGGGTGATATGATTTGATTCGATTTAATTTCATTTCATTTTTTTTTTTTGTTAAAACAAATGACGATGGTCACGACGACGACGACAACAACAACAACAACAACGGCGACAAATGGAACGAATGTTGAAACATTCGTTCATCAAATAATACTTCTATTTATACGTTATGGAATCATATCCATTATTGTTTCATTACTTTTGCTACGTTCAATAAGGATAATTCAACGATGGTTACGATCAAGATCAATGATTTGTAAATTTTCGGGCATAAATGTTCCATTTTGGAAAATTCCAATTGGAAACATTGACATGTTATTCATTGGAAGTTGGACAACAGAAACAATTGTTGATGGTAAAAAAAAAAAAATTTTTTGCTTTATAAATTAATGACAAATTCACTTTTCATTTATTAAAAAAACCATCTAGATTATTTTAAAGTGATGACGGGAATGTCCAAACTTTTTGGTGAAACATCTCATATTTGGCTTTCATTGTTTCCAACTATGATTATTAGTCATGCCGATGTTGCTGAAGTAAGTATAGATTGTGGATTTTTGTGTGGAAATAGTATTCGAAATTTTTTTTTGCATTTAGAAAATATTATCCAGCACTGATACATTTTTAGATAAAGATTATTTTTATGAAATGGTTAAACCATGGCTGAATGAAGGACTGTTGACCAGTGCATCGAATAAATGGCGTTCACGACGAAAATTATTGACACCAACATTTCATTTTAATATTTTGGAACAATTCTTACCCATCATGAATGAACAGGCACAAATTCTTTCTCGTATAATCAATGATCGTCAACTGAAAGCAGGTGGTAATGGTTATCTAGATATTGTGCCACTAATAACAAATGCAACGTTGGATGTTATCTCGGAAACTGCAATGGGTGTGAAAATTGGTTCACAACTCGATAAAAATCGTGATTATGTGGATGCAGTTACAAGGTTAGTGATCATGGGTGAATTTTTATTCCTGTCATAATTGAATACGTCAAATTTTCAGAGTTACAGCTACAGCTTTGAAACGAATGTTATTGCCATGGTTTCAAAATAATTTCATTTATTTTAATTTTTTGGCCGAAGGACGTAAACATCGTCGTGATATTAATCTAGTTCGTGAATTCACAATGAATGTTATTAAAAAACGTAAAAACGAAATTGTCAACCAAAAGAATCTTGATTTGAATGCGAATGAAAATGGTCGTCGTTTAGCATTTATGGATCTATTGATTGAACAGCATTTAAATGATCCAGATAAATTTACTGAATCGGATATTCGTGAAGAAGTGGATACATTCATGTTTGAAGGTCATGATACGACGGCAATGTCATTGATATGGACATTACATTTACTCGGTAATCATCCTGATATTCAGGATCGTATACATGAAGAAATCGACGAAATACGGCAACAATCTGATGATTATGATCAAACACAGAATTGGTCTCAAAATCAATTAAGACAGATGAAATTTCTGGAGGCCTGTATCAAAGAATCGTTACGAATTTATCCATCGGTACCGGTAATATTACGTTATACACATCAAGATACGGAAATAGAACCCGGTCGTATCATACCAAAAGGAACGTCCGTCGCTCTCGTACTTTATATGATACAAAGGGATCCAAAATATTTTCAACAACCAGAACGCTACATACCGGGTCGTTTTATCGAAGATTCTGAACATTATTGTGGCCGTATAAATCCATTTGCTTATGTACCATTTTCAGCCGGGCCACGTAATTGTATTGGACAGAAATTTGCTCTACAAGAAGAGAAAATCATGTTGGCCACTTTATTGTCTCGATATCGTGTTGAATCTGGTGATAATCGTGGTAATGTCGATGTAAAAGCGGCATTAATTTTAAGGCCAAAATCATCAGTCAATATTCGTTTCATACAACGTATATAATTTTTAATCAAACCAAAATAATAAAAAAAATAAATCCTTTTATTCCACCAACTTCTGTTTATCTTTGTTGTAATAGTTTAGTTTAGGAAGTCCGGATCTATGACGTGTGTTGATAATAAATAAATCAAACCGCACAAAAAAAACAATTTTGCATGTCAATGTCAATCGTATATATCCGAATAAAATACAATTTTGACTTTTATTATTGTAAATCAGCAAAATTATATCTGTTCGATCAACAATTTTAAATTTAAAAAAAAAATTATCCAAAGTTTCAATAAATGGTTACAATTCAAATCAAAATTTTCATTAAAAATGAATAAAACAAAACAGAAGCTGTTGATCATCATGATTGACTCCCCTTATATTGGCATTTTCAGGCTTGACCAATAAGCTTGTTATTCAATTTTAAATCAAATTTTTAATATATCTCAACCAATTCATTATCAGGCGTTGCTGATTAACCAAAATAAAATTTTGACGTAATTGGTAATTGGTAATCTTACATTTTAACGTCATCATCATCGTGATTTGCATCAAAATTTTATTATCGATTCAACACACACAAAAATATATATGACATGAAAAACAAATCAAATAACATTTCCTTATAAGGTATATCTATATCAGTATGTATCATCAGAACAACAACAAAAAAACACACACAAACATTTGAATATAATGTTTACAAGGTAATTGAAGTGATGATAAAACTTTTTTTTCTGATTGATTAATATTTAATATATAAATGGGTGATATGATTTGATTCGATTTCATTTTTTTTTCCGGGTTAAACCAATGATGATAGCCATGACGACAAATGGAACGAATATTGAAACATTCGCTCATCAGATAATTCTTCTAATCATACGTTATGGAATCATATCCATTATTGTTTCATCATTTTTGCTACGTTCAATGAGAATTATGCAGAGATGGTTACGATCAAGATCGATGATTTGTAAATTTCCTGGCATAAATGTTCCATTTTGGAAAATTCCAATTGGAAATATTGACATGTTATTCATTGGAAGTTGGACAACAGAAACAATTATTGATAGTAAAAAAAAATTTTTTTAATTTATGACAAATTAACTTTTCATTTATTAAAAAATCATCTAGATTATTTTAAATTGATGATCGGAATGTCCAAAATTTTTGGTAAAACATCTCATTATTGGCTTTCATTCTTTCCAACTATGGTTATTAGTCATGCTGATGTTGCTGAAGTAAGTATATATTGTGAATTTTTGTGTGGAAATAGTAATCGAAAATTTTTGTTTTCGCATTTAGAAAATATTATCCAGCACTAATACATTTTTAGATAAAGATAATTTTTATGAAATGCTTAAACCAATGCTGAAAGAAGGACTGGTGACCAGTTCATCGGATAAATGGCGTTCACGACGAAAATTATTGACACCAACATTTCATTTTAATATTTTGGAACAATTCTTACCCATCATGAATGAACAGGCTCAAATTCTTTCTCGTATAATCAATGATCGTCAGCTGAAAGCAGGTGAAAATAGTTATCTAGATATTGTGCCACTAATAACGAATGCAACATTGGATATTATCTCGGAAACCGCAATGGGTGTGAAAATTGGTTCACAACTCGATAAAAATCGTGATTATGTGGATGCAGTTACAAGGTTAGGGATCATGATTGGACTTTTTTCCCGTCATAATTAAATTCGTCCAATTTTCAGAGTTATGGCTACAGTTGTGAAACGAATATTATTGCCATGGCTTCAAAATAATTTCATTTTTTTCAATTTTTTTGCCGAAGGACGTAAACATCGTCGTGATATTAATCTAGCTCGTGAATTTACATTGAATGTTATTAAAGAACGTAAAAACGAAATTGTCAAACAAAAGAATCTTGATTTGAATGCGAATGAAAATGGTCGTCGTTTAGCATTCATGGATCTATTGATCGAGCAACATTTGAAAGATCCGAAACACTTTACCGAATCGGATATTCGTGAAGAAGTGGATACATTCATGGTTGCAGGTCATGACACGACTGCCATGTCATTGATATGGACATTACATTTGATAGGCAATCATCCGGACATTCAGTATCGTATACATAAAGAAATTGACGAAATAAGGCAACAATCTGATGATGATGATGACCAAATAACACAGAATTGGTCTAAAAATCAATTAAGACAGATGAAATTTCTTGAGGCCTGTATCAAAGAATCGTTACGAATTTATCCATCGGTACCGGTAATATTACGTTATACACATCAAGATACGGAAATAGAACCCGGTCGTATCATACCAAAAGGAACGTCCGTCGCTCTCGTACTTTATATGATTCAAAGGGATCCAAAATATTTCCAACAACCAGAACGCTACATACCGGGTCGTTTTATCGAAGATTCTGAACATTATTGTGGCCGCATGAATCCATTTGCTTTTGTACCATTTTCAGCCGGGCCACGTAATTGTATTGGACAGAAATTCGCATTACAAGAGGAAAAAATAATGCTTGCCACTTTATTGTCTCGATATCGTGTTGAATCCGGTGATTATCTTGGTAATGTTCATAAAAAAGCGATAATAATTTTAAAACCAAAATCATCAGTCAATATTCGTTTCATACGACGTACATAATTTTTAATTTAATCAAACCAAAATTAAAATTAAAAAAAAAGAAATATTTTTATTCCACCAACTTTTGTTTATTCTTTGTTGTAACGTTTAGTTTAGTAAGTCCGGATCTATGATGTTCGTTTGCTGAGAGAAAAAAAAAGGAAAAATATTATTAAATGTTAAAAACAAAACTTTAATCATAATCATATTGCAATTATTAAAGCGATTAGAACGATATTCTACAATAATGGGGATTTTGAAAATCATTGATTTAATTATCAACATGGTATTCATTTCTCGTGACGCCATTTTATCGGTTATAGATGTATTTAAAGAATTGACAAAAATTCTTTTTTCTTTACTGTAACGAGGTCTATGAGTGGTAGCTAATTTCTATTAAACAACCGATTTATTTTTCGTATTTAAAGAATGGCCGAAAATATTCAAACAAATACTACTAATCAATCAAATGATCCAGACAAGTGGGTGGTTCGTCCTTCTCGTATGGAAAAAGATGACAAAATTGAAAGCTATCTAAATGAATTTAGTAGAATTGCGAAGGCTAATAATTGGACTGATTGTCGAAGTGCTGATATTTTTCAAGCTATGCTTCGTGCAGATTCGGAAGCTTTACAATTATTTGAAGATTTAACCGAATCAGATCAAAAATCATTTTCCAAAATTAAACGAGCTTTCGAAGAAAAATTCAAACATAATATGGTTGCAAATATTATGAAACTAATGTTCATTCAAAGAGATAGAAACGAATCATTAAGTAAACTTCTTCAAAGAACAACTACATGTGTTGAACGGGTTTATCCTAATTTCGCGAAATTAAATAAGACACAATTGGTTCGAAATCATTTCATGGCTGCATTAGATTTGAAGTTACGTGAAAAAATTATAGCGTTATCTGAGCTCCCAAGAACAGCAAATGATGTTCTGGCTAAAGCTGAAGCTTTTGAAAATGCATCAAAATGTCATTATAATCGTAACGAAAATTCATTTCAAAAACCATCGTCATCGTCTAATAATAACAATAATAAAAATAACAACAAGAAATCAAATAAATTTTGTGAGTACTGTAAAAAAACTAATCATAATACTGATGCTTGTTATTCAAAAAAGAAGAAAGAAAAAAAAGATAAATCTAAAAAAGATGAAGTTTCAAATATCAAATCAGATCAAATGGTAATGAAAATTATGATTGATTTCAAAAATAAAAAACATCTAGCTATTATTGATTCGGGCAGTAGTATTTCATTTTTTCCAAAAAATCTTATTGATTCATCTAAATTGGTTAATTCCGAGAAAAATGTATCTGCTGTATCATTCACAAATGATCCGATATCGATTATTGGTGTTTATAAAGAAACAATTAAAATTGAAAATGTGAAATGTAAATGGGATTTCTATGTCGCAAATAATAATGATTATTTTCTGATTGGTTTCGACTTTCTTAGTTCAAAAAATTCAAGATTTCTACTGATTTTGGGTTATTTAAAATTTCGAATGGTCGAACCGAAGGTCAAACTAAAATATTGCGATCTACAGATATAAATTCACATGATTATCAACAATTTAATAATTTGATCATTTCTACTGATTCTGATAAAAACGAAGATATTGAACAATGTGTTATCAAAATGATTTCTTCTACAACATCATCATCATCAGTTAATAGTTCACATAGTGATAAAAATGTCGAAAAATTATTGAAAAAATATAATGATTTATTCAACAAACTTGGTGAAACATCAGTTATCAAACATAAAATTATTTTACGTGATAATGTTCATCCAATTCAAACTCGTCAATATAGAATTCCGGAAGCTATCGAAAAAGATGTTGATATTGCTGTTAAAAAGCTAATTGATGAAAACATAATAGAAGAGTCTGAATCCGAATGGAAAAATCCGATAGTTCCAATACGAAAACCTGATGGTACTATCCGATTAGCAATTGATTTCCGTGAATTAAATAAAATTACCAAAAAAGATTCTTTTCCAGTACCTAGAAGTGACCGAATAATTCGTGATCTCCGTGGTTCAAAGTATTTTTCAAAAATCGATATGAATAGTGGTTATTATCAAATTTCAATGAATGAATCAGATCGTGAAAAAACTGCATTTCAATGGAATAACAATTTGTATCATTTTAAAAGAATGCCGTTTGGTCTCGTTTCTGCTCCACAAACTTTCATTCGATGTATGTCAAAAATTTTTGGTAAACTTGATTTCGTCAAAATTTATTATGATGATATTCTTATTCATTCTTCTTCAAAAAGTGATCATTATAAACATTTAGAAATTGTTTTCAAATTATTCAAAGAATATAATCTTACAATCAACAAATCGAAATCTGAATTCTTATTGGAACAAGTTGAATATCTTGGTTTTTCGATATCTGATGGAAAAATTCAACCATCAATAAAAAAAATTGAAGCATTAAAGAACTTTCCAGTTCCTAAATGTCGTAAAGATCTTGAACGATTTATTGGTTTATCTAATTATTTCCGTTCAATGATTGAAAATTATGCTACATTGGTATTGCCTCTCCAAAAATTAAAACATCAAAATAAATTTGTGTGGTCTGACAAATGTCAAGATTCTTTTGTGAAAATTCGTGATATTCTTTGTGCATCTCCAGTAATACATATGCCGAATCCGAATTGTTCATATATCATGAGATCCTTTGTTATTCAATGTGATGCTTCTGATAAAGGAATGGGTGCTGTATTATTGCAACGTGATGAAGATAATAACGAATATGTAATTGAATATGCCTCCAAATCTTTTACCGATTGTCAACTGAGGTATGCTACAATTAAAAAAGAAGCAACTGCTTTATTGTGGTCTATCGAACATTTCAATCATTATTTATATGGTCGAAAGTTTTTGGTTGAAAGTGATCATCGTCCTTTACAATGGTTGATGACTAAAAAAGATTCTGTTGGTAGTCTTGGACGTATGGCATTACGATTACAACAATACGACTTCGACGTTGTACATATTCCTGGTAGAAATAATATCATTGCTGATTTATCTCGTGATATTCAATCAAACCATGGAATGATGGAATCTGATTTTGAAAATCATTGATTTATGGTATTGTATCAACATGGTATTCATTTCTCAAGTTAAATTACGACGCCATTTTATCGGTCTATCGATGTATGAATTCAAAACGAATAATCGGTACTTGATTGCTTGTACAAAATTCAACAAAAACAGCTACGGCTTTTCGTGGTATTCCAAAGAACATAATATCTGACCGAGGTTCAATCTTCGAATCAACAGTATTAATGAATTTTGTGCTGACTATTTACAAATTTGATCTAATGAATCATCTGAAAAAAACTCTTATTTCAAAATGTACGCTGAACAAAAATGAATTTGTAAAAAATTATCAATCTGATCTGGAATCAAAAAGAAAACATGTTAATGATTATAATCCATATGGCATGGAATACAAATTCAATTTGGTGACCGCATCAACAAAATTGTCATATAATCAACATCAACAATGTCGCATTTGTCTTGTTATTGGATTGATCTATTTGATTATTATTGTCTTTTTGGTTAAAAATTTCTATAAACATTTTCTGATCAAAAGAAAAATAAACAGTAGTTGGTGGAAATTAAGACAATTTCACCAACTACTGTTTATTTTTATTCAATTTATATGTTTTGGTCCAGATACCAATTGGTAATTCACAAATCATACCTTGTATAACGAGAAGATAATTGGCATGTATTTTTGTTTATTGATCAATCATTGAACATTGATAAACACAGCCACGAATTTAAGATAGATTGTGCAATCCACCAAAAGAAATTTAAAAGCGAATCCAGAATGCTGGAGCATTTGCGATCATGTTTTTTATTCAGCGAAAAGCTCATCGGTACAAAACATTGATGAAAAAGCTTGAATTTGAAAATTATGGATTTGAAACCAAAATATGACTATAAACTCAAAGTCATATTAATTTGACCTGTTTGTGTCGAACAAATTTTAATTGAAATTTTAAAAAAATAAATAAAAAACTAAACTAACAAATTTGAATTATTTTATTCGTTCAATGATTAAGAATCAAGGTCATTTCATCAAGAATCATGAAATATATGCACAAGTTAGAATTCGTTCAAATGCCTTTCTTATCATAAAAAATTTTTAATTTTAAATGTCATCATCATGTTTTAAATGTAATGATGATGATGATGATTTTTGGTCGACTCATATTTTTTTTTTTTTTTTTTTTGAGTACGTCATATAAGAATGGTGGCTGTGAATGAGCGTTTTTTTGTGTTGAGTCAGTGATTGACTGCGCAACTCAGTGAGTCAATGTTCTATTGAAAATAGTGATGATGATGATGATAAAAGAAACGTTGCAAATCCGTTTTCTTTCAATTCCGTTTTCGACTTGCTCAAATGTGGTTTGATTTTGATTTTTCATTTTTTGTCCACATTTTTATTTCATCATCGTCGAAATCAAATCATCATCACCATCAAATCATAATTGGTTCAATTAATTTATCGCAATCAATTATTGAACGGTTAATTCACCAGTTTTTTTTCATTGTTGGCATGTTTGATTTTTGTTTTATATTTTCTTTTATGTCTGTTTACCGTTTTCGAGCAGTTTTTCTGCGCGGTGTCGTCATCTAACACGAATAAAATTAAAAAAATGGAATTCATTAATTTTGGTGATGATCAACAACAACAACAACAACCACCACAATTCATATTATAATTATTAATTAATTATATAATTATTATAACTGCACATATGCTGGTTGTAATTTTAGAAAAAAATATAGACAATGTTGTATAGAACACATTGCCAAAATACATACACACACGAAAATCATACCACAGATTAAAGAAACAGTGGTACAGCGCTAAAGTGGTAACAACAACAAAAACGTGGTATGATTTTTGTGCGTGTATGAACATGCGGTTTCCATGCAAGATAGCTGGTTGTGAAAAACATTTCGCCATCAATGCTCAGTGTATAGGCATATTCATATGAAACATCAAAAGAAATGCCGGCCAGCACCACCATCATCTTCATCATGACCATCTCCATCTCTAAAACCGATAAAAGATGATAATGATAGAGAAGAGTTTTAAGAAATAACAAGCACGAATAATAATGTTTAATCAGAACAAACATATATAAATATCAAGAAAACGTATTGTTTAAACTAATCAAATAACGAATATTCTAGTAATGAACGGCCGTTACAATAGGTTTTCATGTCCATATCAAGGCTGTGAAAAAAATTATTCATCTTCAAAAATGTGTAAACATCACATATCATCTATTCATCACAATGAACAAATTCGATGCCCTATACAGAGTTGTGGAAAGGTATATAGATATCCAAGATGTGTATCGAGGCATCTCTATGCAGAACATTATAATGAATATAATGAATACTCGCCAGCACCACCATCATCATCAACATCATCTAGACCAGGGCTTCTTAAACTATGGGTCGCGACCCCGAATGGGGTCGCGTAGCAAAATTTTTGACGTGTATTTGTGTAGAGCAATCATGAAATGGGGTCGCGAATGAAAAAAGTTTAAGAAGCCCTGATCTAGACCATCAACTTCAACATCACCACATCTAAAGCCGATAAAAGATGATAATGATAAATATCAATGTCCATATTATAGTATGAATATAATAAAAAACACAAATAATAAACACACTAATAATAATTTTTTAATTAATTAATATTTCTTACAAACTCATTCATATTTATACTGCTTTTAACAATCAATTAATAATTGAATTAATTGTAATATTTGACATATTACAACACATATGGCTGTCAAAAAAAATATACATCTTTAAATATGTGTAAACAACACATATCATGTATCCATCACAACGAACTAATTCGATGCCCTATACCGAATTGTGGAAAAATATATAAATATCCAGCAACTATTTACAGCCATATGAAGAAAAAACATAAAGATGAATGGCCACCAAAAACATCATCATCTACATCATCATCTACACCATCATATTCAACATCATCACATCTAAAGCCGATAAAAGATAATAATAAAAATTATCAATGTCCATATCATGGCTGTCAAAACAATTACACATCTTCAAAAATGTGTAAACATCATATATCATATATGCATCACAATGAAGTTATAAGATGCCCTGTAGACAGTTGTAATCAAATATATAGATATCCTTCAAATCTTTACAGGCATATAAGAAAAAATCATAAACTTGAATGCCCTTTTCTGGAAGATGACATTTGTAAACTAAATGGTTTTTGTTTTTTTTTCACATGATGAGAATCTAATAATGTAGAATCATTTAGCAAATTTCCATCATATATTTGTTATTACTTAAACTTAATGAAAAAATGTAATTGTACCGTTATTGGTGACGTATTTATATACTCACATTTATAATATTCATTCTTTTTAAAAACGATTATTGTTCCGTATGTAATACACAGCTAATTAATAAACAACATTTTAATATTACAATTTTGTGTTTTCTTTGTTTTGTTTTTTGCTGAAATATTATCACACTCCACAATGGAGATTATTGCCCACTGCCTCAGAATAATTTTGCTGATCTTTTTAATATGATGACGATTTCGTTCATCTATCTTTTTCTCCACAAAAAAAACACTACAATAGCCGATAATTTAATTTTATAAAAAATAATTTATTATTCAAAGAAAAAAGAGAAAAAATAATAATAAAAAAATGTCAGGTGTTATTATTCCAAAATGGCCAAAAATTGTGGATTAGGAATTTTTGGTTTTTCGTTTACCAGCAATAAAAAAAATTATTATAATACAAAAAAAAAATTTTCTATTTACAGAAAAAAAGAATATAAAAAAATCATCATTATCCCTAGAAAAATAAGATCGATATTAAAATTTGTGTTATCATTCTGTGTGTATAGGTGTGTGAATTATTAATTAGGACACAAAAAAAAGAAATAGCTGCCATATTGTAAAGGAAATACAAATGTTTTCTTTGAAAAAAAAAGTATTAAGTAAGTTGTATGTGTCTATGCAGGTTGAAAGAAAACAAAAAAAAAAAGAATTAAGAACTTTTTCATTGTGTTTGTGGTAAGCTGCCAAAAAATATATAGAAATTTAATACCTTCAACACACAGCAATTGAATCAATGAATAAAAAATTGAAATGAAGAATGACCAGCAAATCTATTTTACATAAGCAGATTAATTTGATGATGATGATGATGATGAATAAAGAGAGAGAAATAAAAATTTGGCACTAATAATCTTTGATTCATTATTATGATTCATCCCATTATAATTGATTATTGTTTTTTTTGCCCATTACCCAAAAGGAACATGCCCAATGTTTTTTTTTGCTTCGAAAACCCGATAAATGTATGATAATAAATGAAACAATTTGACGAAAAATAAATTTTACATATGTCGTTGCATTGATGGATAATAATCGGGTAATGGTTCAATCAATGATGGATCAGGTGTTGTATATAATGGATTTGGAAAATCCGGTGGATGAGGCAGTGGCCCAACACCTTTTGGACGACGACGATAAGCCATCAGCCAACAGGATATGGCAACAGCAACAGCAACTAATGCCAATAATGTGGTGATAATCATTGAAATGATTAGACCAAGTTTTGGTAAACAAACATGTTCAATATCTTCCACATGAATCGAATCATTCTCGACAATATTTTCCGATTGTTGTAAACCATGTTTTTCAAATGTCAATATGGCATTCGATTGTACCATAATTTCTTCACGAAGTGCACCTTCTTTAAATGTATCGGTAAGTATGAAATCATCTTCATCAACTTCAATTTGACGTCGTCGTCGACGACGACGACCAAAGGCATCGATACCATCACAATTAACGGGTGGACATGATCCAAAACATACACGGATATTACATTGAAATCGTAGATTATTGCTGCTTGGAAATTTAAATGCATTGAATCGAGCCATTAATGATTTTTTATGTGGATCATATTCCCAATTGCCAAATATACTTGGATCAGTTGCACAGCCATTTTCATCTGTAACTTCATATTGAAATTCGCCTTCTTCTTCCATAGTTTTAGCAAAACAACTTCGAGCAAAGCCTCCGTAAATGAAATCTGGTTGTACATCCACTTTGAGTATAAGGTCATCACCAATTTCAGCGCTGTTAATTTCTTTACCATCCAACGTACAGATTGACATGATACATGTTGGTGGTGGACCAGTGTTGGCAATAGTTCCAGAGGTAGTGATCATACTGACATTGAATCCTAACGTAACGGTCTTTTCACCGGTATTGTAAACACATTTAATATGATAAGCTCGAGCACGATAGGTGATAAGTTTAGGATGTTTTTGAATGACCAACACAAACGATGCTTCACCATCGATGTGAATCAAGCCACAATGACCGAATAAAACTTTAAAATCAATAGAATCACCTTCACCACTGGTGACCAATCGACGGCATTGTGGATCTTGACTATGTCCTTTTACATAGATAAGACCATCGAATCGATCCAATTGGACGCTGACTTGTACACCATCAGCCAGACACATGACTAGAATGATTTGAATGCATAAAAATTACAGATTATTTAAATTCATTGAACATTAATTAAAACAAACCTAATATTTCTGATGGCGGTGGAATGGTTCGTGATTCAATCGGTAGATCTGGTTCTTCATAACAGCCAACCAATTTATCCAAAGGTTCCCCAATTCTTCCAGGTGGGCAACTGCAAATAGCTCGATGATCGATAGCCGTACATTCAGTATGCGGACCACAGATATAACATGGACTTATACATTGTTTGCTGCCAATATCGCATTCACGATCACTAGCACAATCAGCTGTAGAAATACAGCCTTCAATTTCGAAACAGCCTTTAACATAGGCATCGCCAACTGTATCCGGGGGACAGCTACATTCATAACCGCCAGGTTTATTATTACAAACAGCACCGGAACCACAATGAACGTGAAGACATTCATTGAGATCAATACATTCACCACTTGGATGATATTCGTAGCCATGTGGACAGACACAGAAACCATTCAAACTTCCAGTGTATACACATTCTTCATTCGTAGGGCATGGATTATTTGTTGTACAATTCAATGATTTCATGTAACAATAATCATTCTCTTGAAGGAAATTCGGTGGACAACCACAAGTATTACTGTCCAAACAAATTAAATTGCCTGGACAATGATAATCAATACCACAGATGATTTTCTTATGACAGGATTTAAATGGATCGCCTTCATAACCACCAGGTGGACAAAAACATTCAGGATTATGATTTTCCGTTATACAAATAGCATTTAGACCACATTTGTAGCCAAGACGATGTTCTCTTGAAACACAAGGATCTGTGTGTTTATTGATAGGAGATAATTAGTTTCACAAATCATGAATCAAATTACTCAAATTAAATACGAACCATAACATTCTCCTAGATGAGCATTACATTTTTTGTTTAATGCACAATCACTATCCTGAAGACAACCTTTCAATGGTGGTGGTGTTGAACGACAACCTTCACGATATGGATCACCATCATGGTTTTCATAACAACGACATTCATATGATCCAGGTAAATTATGGCAATCGGCATTTGCAGCACAAAGTCCTGTTTGTTCAATACATTCGTTGATATCTGTGTGTGAAGAAAATCAGAAACAAAAATTAACACAAAGTTTAGAGAAAAAAAATTCATTTTCATTTATCAACTCACCTTGACATTCGCCATTCGAAGAAAGCCTAAAACCACGCATACAAACACAGAAACCATTTCCTTTGGTGAGGATACATTCTTGATTACCTTTACATAATTTTGTCGATGAACAACCGATCGATGATTCTAAAAAAAAAATTCGAAAATGAGTAATGAAAATAATTTTTTTTTCTTACTCAAAAAACCTACTTATACAATAATCCAATTGTCGTTCATATCCAAGTGGACAGCCACATTTTTGATCCGACATACAGGCCAAATTACCTGGACAATTATTGTCTGATAAACATTCTACAGGTTTACGACAGATAGAATATGGATCACCAAAAAACAATGGCCTACAATTACATTCTTTTCTATGGTTTCGTACAGTGCAGATGGCATTTTGACCGCAGCTGTTTTCTTTCAAACAAGGATTGACACAGTTTGTTTCCACACAAGCTTTGTCCGCATCACAATCACTGTCCACGAAACATCCTTCACGGAAATTATCAGTCAAACATCCTTCATTGTATGGATCACCACCGAATGGACATGAACATTTATAGCTTCCAATCAAATTCGTACAAATGGCACCAGATCCACAGATGTTTGAGTTTTGTTGACATTCATCAATATCTTTGCAACTACCATCCAATGAAAGTTGAAAACCTCGAGGACAGATGCACGTTCCTTGATGAGTATTACCACCGTTTATAAAAACGCATTCTTGATTTAATGGACATGGACTTTGAAGGGAACAGTTGAAACTTTGAGCTAATTACAAATGAAATAAAATATGAGTTTTTCCACTCCAATTAAACAATCACAATCAATCAAACATATTTACCAATACAGAATGTGCCCAATTGATGTAGATGTTTAGGACATGAACAATAATCAATTTGACATTTAAGATTACCCGGACAATCATTATCAGAAACGCATGAATCACCTATAATAATTATTAATAATTGTTATGATAATGGCCAAAAATTTGATCATGTTGAAAAACTTACGAATCGTGCATTCAACATGTGGGTTGCCTTGATAACCATTTTGACAAAGACATTCAGCTTTATAATCAAATCCTCTACAAATGGCACCTTTACCACAGACGCCGGGCCTAGAACAGATATCTAAAGAAAAACAATAATGTGAAATAATCGTAAATGCTGCAACGTCATCGAAATTACCATAACATTCTTGTGTAACTGGATTGCATCGTTGATCCGGTTTACAGTCAGCATCATGAAGACAAACTGGCTGTGGTGATCGACAACCAAATGGTCCATATGGATCGCCAACCAAAGGCATTGGGCAAGAACATTTGAACCAACCAGGTAAATTAGTACAACTGGCTCCAGGTCCACAAGGCATTTTTTCCTGCAGACATTCATTTATGTCTAAATGGAAATGTTTTTATATTTAATTGCCAATAATTATAAACAAACTTGATGAATTTTACCTTTGCATTCGTTATTAGCGCAAACATATCCATTACCACAATCTTTATTCTGTTCACATTCGACTGAAAGTTTTGAACATTGTTTCAATGGATCGCCAGTATAAAAGGCATACATGAACATTGAGCTTCATGGCGTTCAGCACGACAAATTGTATTCACTCCACACATTCCACCGATATTGCATGGACTTTGGCACAAACCATTCACACAGGCTTTATCCATCGGACAATTTCCATGCATTCGACATCCAACTATTTATAGAAAAGAAGAGAAAAAATTTTAATAAAAAAAAGTTTGAATTTTTTCATTCATTACTTACCAATACATTTTTGTTTCAAACAGATACGTTCCGTACCACAATCATCATCAGTTCGACATTCAGGTGGTTTTCAGATCCAAATTAAAACGGTATAGTCGATCGAGATCGATAGGTTTGAAATCAGTTTTTCAGGTATGATATGAAACGGACGTTGGAAACAAAATTCAAAAGCCGAGATAGGACGATCGTTGGCGATAATTGGTCGGGCATTAATTATGGATTCGACTTCCCGAAATCTTAACATTACATCATAGAAAGAACGGCATTTCTTGTCGTAAATAGACAAGCATGACTTAACCATCTGAACAAAACGCTCAGCCGTTCCGTTCTGCCAAGGAGCAGATGGAGCTGTCGTCCACCATACAACGGACATTTTCGCCTTTTCAAGGGCTAATTTGATCGGTTTGAAATTGGTACCATTATCTGAAATGATGAACTTGGGGAATCCAACTTCGTGGAAAATAGACTTCAAAGCTCGTCCAGCGGAAATTGGTGTCAGATCTTCCAAAACTCCGATTCGAAGACACCGTGTAGATAAGCACGCGACTATCAATCCCCAGTATTTACGACCATTTAATAACTTAAAAGGGCCAAAACCGTCAATGGCAATGCGAGCAAACGGACCACTGAACACGTCCACTTCATGGTACGTTGGCCCAAAAGGAACGGATATTCCTTTTCCGCGTCGTTTCCGACAAAGAACACATCGGTAAATTAAACGCGCCATTGATCGGTTGGCGTCGCCAATAGCAAGTTCCACCGGGATTTGAGCCAAAGATAATTTAACACCGTTATGTTTAGCTAAGCGATGCGCTTCGTACAATAAAGCTCGTGATAAAGCGGTACGTGGTGGGATCCAGATTGAGTTTACGCCATCTCTCATGCGATAAACAATTAAACCCCGATCGTCAATAAAATGATCATGTGAGCTGACGAAAGGAGAATTAGCTTGGAAACATCGTATCAGAATAAACAAAGAATCGATCATTCGATCTTGCTTGTGCTTCGGAAGCCAGCTACGAAACCGATTTATCCATCGTAACATGCTCTTAATTGATGAAAAGCGATTCAAAAAATTGATGAAAGTTGGATCTATTTCTTCTTTTTTAATGGCACAGACTGAAACGATTGGACAAGATTCATTTGGCAGAATTGTTGTTTGAAGAAACCAAGGTTTTTGTTGTAAGAATTTAGAGACAGAGATCGGACGGCTAAACAAATCCGCGGGATTCAAATTACCGGAAATATAGATGACTGATGCTCGGCAATCGGAAATTATTTGAAGAATACGAAGCAATTTTTTACCAAGATGACACTTAAAACGATTCGGTGATGCGTTTAATCGATCAAGATTTATTTTTGAATCTGAGAAAATTCTGATTGATGGATTGACTTGCGATTGTAACAATATTTTACGAATTCGATAGACCATTTTTACCAATTCAAGCAACGCTAAAAGCTCTTTTTCGACAATAGTTTTCGTTTTCGATGCAACTTTACTTTTTCCGAACAAAAATTGAGATCCAAGATAAATGCAATAACCGAGACCAACTTCACTAGCGTCAGCGAAACAATACATAATCGATGTGTCCGGTATAAAACGATTAAACTTAATTTGATCTAGGTTTGGCCAATCGGTGATAGCTTTATTCCATTCACGAACGAAATCATCATCTACAATCGGAGTATCCCATTCATTGGAAACGATACAAGAAAACATGATTCGTAAACGAAGCTTCAAAGGGTCAATAATACCCAACGGATCAAAGATACGGCCAATTGTGGACAAAACAATACGTTTAGTTAAAGAAGGCGAGACTAAATCTCGATTTTTCAAACTGATTGTATCTTCTGACATATTCCACAATAAACCTAGCAAACCAGAATCATAGCCAGTCGAACCATCCGGAATCATACCATTGGAGCATATCTTATGCATCTCAAAACCAGAAGCAGAAAACGCTTGCTTAGCGTCAATCACACATTGCCGAAGATCATCGATACTATTCGAACCGATAAGAAGATCGTCCATATACGTAACACCAGAAAGTAGATTGCGAGAAGATTCGTGAATTTCTATTTTGAACAATCGATTGTTGTTGTTGTTGTTAGTTAAAAATCAAACAATTTAAAATTGTTTTTACCTTTGCATTCGAAATTCGGTTCGCCAATAAATCCAGCAGGACAACTGCAAACGGCAACATGACTAGAAGCCAAACAGATTGCGTTTCGGCCACAAGCACCACTTTGTTTACATGGATTGATGCATTTTTCTTGTACACAGGTTTTATCTTTCGGACAATTCAATGTTGATCGACATCCATCTGCATAGAAAAAACGAAATCAATGAATAAAAATTCAACTCAAGACAAACAATCGCGTTAAGAACTTACAGGTACAACGTTGATTTTTGCAAATATGTTCAGTGGGACATTCAAAATCAGAGAAACATTCTGGTGGTGGTAGTACACGTTCACAGGAAACTCGTGGATTTCCGGTAAAATCACTAACACAGGTACAAACTCGATCATGATTCAATGGTTTACATACGGCATTTTGACCACAAGCACCAAATAAATCGCATGGATTTTGACATTGTTTATTGATACAAGATTCTTCAAATCGACAATTAGCATCATTTCGACAGCCATCTATTCGATATTGAAAAAAATGTTATTCATTCAATTTAGACCAACAACAGCAAAAAAAAAATAGCGAGAGAGAAGCTCGTGACGGTTTGGCGATGTCCCGGTGAACCGGGCGAAGCGATACAATCAACAGCTGATCATTCAGGTGTTACAACGATGCATTATTGATGGCCGGAGCTCGCTGTGAAACTAGTTTAGGTTAGGAGGATGAATTTCACCGGTGGATTGTCATAATGGAAGTTTATGTCCAACTTGACTTTGCTTAAAAGGGGTTTTTTTTAAACTTTATGGCGGCAATGGCCACCTTGAAAGGGGGTTAGGTTAGGTTGGTTTTTTTTAGGTTAGGTTGGTTTTTTTTAGGTTAGGTTGGTTAGGTTAGGTTAGGTTAGGCAGATGAACTGCACCGGTGGATTGTAATAATGGAAGTTTATGTCCAACTTGACTTTGCTTAAAAAGGTAATTTAGGTTAGGCGAATAAACTACACCGATAAATCGCCATAATACTAGCATATTCAACTTATCTCCAGCTTTTAAGTTCTTATTGTTTTTTTCTTCATGGTCGATGACAATGAAAATTGTTGCAAGTATATATTTTTGATCACTTTCGCTCTTTTCGTATATGTATTTTCATTCGCTATTTTGAGTCGGAATCTTCAATTTATCTACAGCAATAGAAAAAAAACTTACCAATACATCTGTTGTTTTCACAGATTTTACCCAATGAACAAGCCTGATCTTGTTCACAATAATCGTCTGGAACTAGAATTAAAAGTTTTTATTATTCAAAAATTTATTCTCATTATTTTTATGATTGAAACAAAACAAAAACAATACTTACTTGGTTCACAATGTTCGAATGGATTTCCACGGAAATTTTCGATACATTCACATCGGGCTCGATGATTGAACGGTTGACAAACGGCATTCAAACCGCATGCTTTTGGCAAAAGGCAAGGATTTTGGCATGTTCCATGAACACAAATTCGATCTTCAGGACAATTATTATCTTGTCGACAACCCGAGATACATTGATTATTTTCACAAATTTGACCGACAACACATTCATTATCTCGGAAACATTGTGGCGGAGCATCCGTACAAAGAACATTCGGATTTCCTTTGAATCCAACTGAACAGCTACAAACAGCCGAACGATTCATTGCTTGACATATTGCATTTCGGCCACAAACACCATATAAACTGCAAGGATTTTGACAAATACCATTTATACATGATTCTTCATCTGAACATCCTGAACTATCTCGACATCCAATAACACACGTGGAACGTTCACCACAAATCAATCGATGACCGCAATCACGATCGGATTGGCATTGTTTGATCTCTTCAAATGGATAACATGAAACACCATCACCGATGAAACCGGAATGACAAGAACAAACAGCACGATGTCCATTCGTTGTACAATCAGCATTCAAACCGCAAGCATTCGGTGATTCACAAGGATTTCGACATTCAGAATTAATGCAGGCTTCATTCGGCACACAATGATCATTATGATGACATCCTTCTATACAAGATCCTTGATTACAAATGTATCCAAAACCACAATCATCATCAGCTAAACAATCTGTTGGCTGTAAGATGATTTGTTGACGATCACAAGCACTGAATAGATGATCATTTTGATCACCACCACCAATACTTGATGATGATGAACATTTACAAACAGCACGATGATTTTCAGCCTGACAAATAGCATCATTATGGCCACAAGCACCGTATACACTGCATGGATCTTGACAACGTTGATTGATACAGGCTGTAACATATGAACAGGTATCATCCGTTCGGCAAGCATCGATACATTTACTTTTCTCACAAATCTGTCCAATACTACAATCAACATCTTGAACACAGATTAACATTGTCGATACTGCACATTGTCGATTAGGGTCGCCAGTGTAACCAGCCATGCAAGAACATCGTGGTCGATGGCCAACGGTCGTACAGATAGTATTCTGACCACACGAATCTGATAAATCACATGGATCAACACATTGTTTGTGTATGCAGGCCAATTCTGATGGACAACTTTTATCAACACGACAGCCAATTGTACAGATATTCAATTCACAGATAAATCCCAATGGACATTGTTTATCATTCGTACATCTTGTTGCTGGTAATTTGGTCATTGGTTTACAATAATCGTAAGGATTTCCATCATAACCAAATGAACAACGACACTGGGGCCGATGAAGAACAGGTTGACAGTGAGCATTCGAACCACATGGTGTTTGAATCGTACATGGATTCTGGCATTGGCTATTATAACAAGCTCGATCGAATGTGCAATCTGAATCACGGCGACATCCACTAATACATTTTCCTTGGTCACAAATTTCTCCCGGATGACAGTTATTATCATAGAGACATTGCTTAATGATATCGACACAATAATGATGTTCACAAACTTTTCCTGGACCACATCCAACATCATCAGAACATTCATATAATTCTAGTTTTTGTTTGCTTTCCACACAATGAACTTTAGCATCGCCAATATAATTTGGCTGACAAAAACATTCGGCTTTATGATTTGCTGGTCGACATAATGAATTTACACCACAAATTTGTTCCAATGAACATGGATCAATACATTTTCGATTATAGCAAGTTTTTTCGAATGGACAATTATCATCGTTACGGCAACCAATAATACAACGATTAGAGATACAAATTTTGCCAATACCACAATCTTTATCCACGTGGCAATCATTTTGTTGAATTCGACAACCTTGATAACCATCGCCGATAAATCCTTCTGGACATCTACAAACAGCTTCATGATTGATGGAAATACAAATAGCATTAGGACCACACGTTTTCATTGAGCATGGATTTTGACATAGATAATTAATACAGGCCATTTTGAATGAACAATCACTATTGGAACGGCAGCCTTCTGTGCAACGGTTATTCAAACAGATTTCCGTCATACGGCATTCATTATCCGAAACACATCCAATCGATTGAACACATTTATTTGATTGACAAAGATAACCAATAGGGCATTCATCATTTTTACGACATAACGGTAATGGTAAACATTCAGTTTCAGGATGACCAATATGGTCAGCGGAACAAAAACATTTTGCATGATGATTAAAGGGCTGACAAATGGCATTGTTACCACAAGCACCACGAGTGTTGCATGGATTATGACATTGTTGTGATTGACAGGCCATATCCAATGGACAATCATCATCTCGACGACATCCGGCAAAACATTTTCCTTGTATACAAATGTTGCCTATAGAGCAGTCTTTATCTTTACTACATTCATTGTTTCGAATACATCGTTGATGGATGCAGGAACTATCCATTGGACAATCGTTCGATGATCGACATGATAATTCTTCTTGTTGTTTAAGCATACATCGTACGGTTGGATTTCCATCATAATTAGAAGAAGGACAAGAACAATATGGTTGATGATCAATAGTCTGACATATGGCATTCTCACCACAAACTTCAGCAAACATACAAGGATCAACACATTGTAAGCTGATACAACTTTCACTGGATGAACAACCAGAATCGGATCGACATCCTGGTTGGCATTTATAATTTTGACAAATTTCTCCATCATTACAATCGATATCGATTAAACAGTCTATATGTTTGCATTCAATTTTTGGATTTCCAGTTTGCTGAGCATTACATGAACATTGAGCAAGATGATTGACAGCAATGCATTGGGCACCAAGACCACATGATGTTGGATTATGACAGGCATTGATACATTTACGATTGATACAAATATCGGTAGTTGAACATTCGGAATCTTGACGACAACCAGGCGTACATTGTTGTTGACCAAATTCACAGACAAATCCACGTGGACAAGCATCATGATTAGTACAAATCGTACTACAAATACCATTCAAACATCGTTCATTATTGTAACAATCTTGATCACGATTGCATTGAGCAAAACAATATGATGATTCACAAATTTGTCCAATTCCGCAACCACCACCTGTTTGTTGATCACAGCTAACAAATTGACGCACACATTCAACGAAAGGATTACCAATCGTATCTTCTTTGCATGAACAAATCTTTTCATGATTATGAACCGAACAAATGGCATTCGTACCACAAGCAGTTGGACTTGCACAAATATCCATACAGAAATTATTCATACAGGTTTCCGTCGATGCGCAATCCGCATCGGAACGACAGCCAACATTACAGAAATTATGCAGACAAATTTCACTTGTCGGACATTCACGATCTTTGGTACATTGAATATGACAACGGCCACTCACACAGCGTTCATCAACGGCACAATCTTTATTGGCCGAACAAACTTGTCGACATTGATTATTCGTACAAATCAATCCGGCATCATGACAATCAGTGTTCGATTGACAGGAAATTGATTCACGCATACAGCCAACATTTGCAGATGGACGACCGACAAAATTTATCGGACAGGAACAGGATATTCGATGATTCACGACACTACAAATAGCATTCGGTCCACATGCTGCTGAACCTTCACATGGATCGATACATTGATTTCGAGTGCATACCAAATGTCCAGCGCATTGATTATTGTTACGGCAACCAGTTTGACAACGATTAGCGTTACAAATTTCATGTGTTGTCAGACATTCATTATCATGACGGCAAAGTAGAACGCAATGACCACTGAAACATTTCTCTCCAATAGCACAATCTTTATCGGCCAAACAAAGCGATTTACAACGACCATCAATACAGATATGATTTTCCGGACAATCAATCGGCGATAAACACATCCGCATGATACGAATACAGCCCATTTTTGAATCACCAGTAAACCCATATTTGCATGAACAAATTGGTTGATGAGCCACCATTGTGCATAAAGCATTCGCACCACAAGCAATCGGTGTATCGCACATATTCTTACAACTATTCAATATACATGCTTCTTTCATTGAACATTCATTATCATTGCGGCAACCAGCTTGACATCGATTATTCATACATATTTCACCGTCTGAACATTCTTGATCACTGAAACATCGAAGCAGACAACGATGATCGAAACATTGTTCATTTTTAGCGCAATCTTTGTTCGTTGCACATTGTGGCCGACATTTTCCAATATCACAAATCGTTCCAATGGGGCATTGATTTTCATTTTGACATTCAATCAGATTACGTTGGCAACCACGTCTTGTATCTTTTGGATTTCCTTGAAATCCATCTGGACATTTACAGATTCGTTGTCGATTCGATACAGTACATAGAGCATTGATTCCACAACTATCATCCCGTTCACATGGATTCTGGCACATCAATAGACCACGTGATGAATTAAGCTCACAAACAGCATTAGGTGGACAATCGGAATTTCCGTTTGGACATTCATTAGGACCACGACATCCAGGTTCTTCAAATGGTGAACCAATATTTTTATCTATTGGACACATACATTCATAACCGGAAAGTTTATTGATACAGATGGCGGTTGGATGACAAACTTTTTTACTACAATAATCAATACGTTGACAGCCAACGATCGGATCATCACCTTCAAATCCATCGAAACATCGACAAATTGCCGAATGTTTTTCCGAACTACAATATGCATTTTTACCACAAATAAAACTGTTTTGTTGTTTACATGGATCAATACATTTATGATTTGAACAGGCTTGATTCGTTTTACATTCTTGATGTGATGAACATTCAATAGGACGACAACCAAATCGTTCATCATTGGGATTGCCAAAAAATCCTGATAAACATTCACAGATTGGAGAATGATTGATAACTTTACATTGAGAATTACGGCCACAAATAGTATTTTCACATGGATCTTTACAATCATTAAAACCACCAGTATCATCAGCACGACAGGCGGCATATTCACCACATTCATTGTCATTGTTACAACGATTTTCAATACGTCGTATGCATCGCCATTCAACACAGTAATAATCGGATGAACAATCAAAATCATTTTTACAGCTTTGAATACATTTGCCCATTTCACATTTTTCATTTTGATTACAATCACGATGGCTAGCACAGGAACTACGACAAAAATGATCCATATGACAGAATTCAGAAAATGGACAATCTTCATCTGAATCGCAAGCTAAACGTTTACGGCAGCCAGCAATTGGTTCGCCAAAATATCCATCGGCACATTTACAGCTGTAGCTATGTTTTTGTGGAACACAATAAGCGTTTTCACCACAAGCCACAGTAGGTGAAAGACAAACATTAACACAATGATTTTCAAAACAAATATCCGTTTCATTTGTACAATCCAAACTGCCAGTACATTCGACACGTTCACAACGTTCTAATGGATTTCCAAAAAAAAATTTTGGACATGAGCATTTAGGTTGATGATGTATGGTCATACAAATGGAATTCATTCCACAAATTGTTGGATCATTACATCGATCACGACATTTTGGCACACCGGCAACCATTATACAGGTAGAAGAATCGGGACAATCATCATCACCATTGTAGCAAACATCTGATTCATGGCAGCCAGGATGTTCGTAAGCATTTCCAACCAGATTTGTTGGACATTTACAGCCATAACTTCCGGGTATATTTTCACAAATTGCTGTATTATGACAAGGATGAAGATGACATTCATTTATGTCGACACAATTTAATAATCCATTGTTTTCGAATCCAATTTCACAACGACAAATAGCTTGACGATCACGTATGATACATGATCCATGAGGGCCGCAATCGACCTGATCGCAAGCATTTTCACAGACAAAATTACGACATTGTCTATCGGATGGACAATCTGAATCGTGAAGACATTCAACTGCTTGACAGCCAATTTGATGATTGAAAGCATCGCCACTGTATAAGCCAACTTCTGGACATTTACATTGAATTTTGTGATCAACAACATTACACAATGAATTCGGTCCACATGGCTGATAGGAACAAAGATTTACACATTTCGATAGTCCACCATTTTGATTACTTCGACAGGCAGCATTCGATGGACAATCAATATCACCTCTAGGACATTCACCAGGATTTTGGCATCCAGTCCATCCATCTCCAATTTCTCCATCACGACATGAGCATCTATAACTTCCAGGTACATTTTCACATATAGCAGTAGGATGACAAGGTTCAGTAAGACATTCATCAATATCTACACATCCAACACCGGCAATATATTCGAATCCAGGTATACAAGAACAAAGGGTATTGGCACAGATTTGATTCAATGTACAATCGGCATTTGAACGGCATCCAGTAATGCAGACATGATTGATACAAACTTCACCGGCTGGACAATTAATATCACTGGAACATGTTTGAAAACAAGCATCGGCAATACATTTTTCTCCATCCACACAATCGTTACATTTTGGTCGACATTTATTATTGGCACATACTAATCCAAAAGGACATTCCATATCGCTAGAACAATGATAATATTTTCGTTTACATCCCATAATTGGATCTGGGTTGCCTTCGAAATTCTCTGGACAAAAACAGGTAAGATTATGACTTTGAATGGCACATAATGCATTGTTGCCACAAATATTTTTGATTTCACATGGATTCTGGCAACGATTCTGGATGCAAGCTTGATCCGCTGGACATTCAATATTGTCACGGCATCCAAAATTACAATAACCTTTGCTTACACAGGCTTCATTCGGTGAACAACTATCATGGACGATACAAGCTTTTACACAGAAATTATCGACACATTTCTCACCATCAGCACATTCACTATCAAGCGTACAAACAAATCGACATTGACCATCAATACATTCTTGGCTATCGTCGGCACAATCAGGATTTGTTTTACAAAATCTTGGAATTCGTGAACATCCAAATGAATTTGGTTGGCCGTTGAAATTGTCCAAACATTGACATTTTGGTTGTTGATCACGTATCTGACAAACAGAATTCGGTCCACATTCGATTTGGTCACATGGATTTTTACATAAAAATAATCCAGTAGCATCAGGCATACACACTGAATTTGGTGAACAATCAATATTTCCACGTGGACATGCATTAGGATGTTTACAGCCATCAATATCTTTGGAATATGGGTTACCAATAAAACCGGAAGTACATGTACATGTTAACGATCCAAGTGTATCATTACAATAAGCCATTTCATGGCAAGGATTTGAATCACATAATCGAACCAACGAACAACCGATTCCATAAGGTTCTCCAGTAAAACCAGATAAGCATTTGCAATGAGCATAATGAGAATGTGAAATACAAACAGCATTCTGACCACAGCCATTGATGCATGGATCATAACAATGATTGTGTGTTGAACAAGCTTTATCATCTGCACAATCTTTATCGGTAATACATTCGACACGTATACAGCCATTATTACGATCATATGGATTGCCAACAAAATGACCATTTGTTGGACAACGACATTCAGGTGCACGATTTTCAATCACACATACGGCATGTTTACCACATTCGAATTTCAAACATCCATCAACACATTTTCGAATACCATGTTGATCAGCTAAACATATTTCATTGGACGATAAGCAATCATTGTCATTGTTGCATTGATGTAATGAAATTTGGACGCAACCAGTACGGCTAAGTGGATCGCCAGTAAAACCTGATTCGCAAAAAAAAATTGATTTAATTTGATTTTATAGTTTATCAATCGTTCTCAATTTAAATCAATTACCTGGTTCACATTGACATTGTTCTTTATGATGCATGGCCACACATCGTGAATTCGGCGTACAAGTGAAATCAATACAAGCTTCGGCACATTGTCGTATGCCAAGAACATTCGTTTTACAAGTTGATAATGCTGGACATTGATGATCGGAAACACATTCATCTTTACGTGGTATACAGATCTGATTCTGATCACGTACAAATCCTTCCATACAATCACAATAGGCACGATGTTCAACTGCCACACATATTGATCCAGTTCCACAGGTGATAAATTGACAAGCATTGAAACATTTTTTAACACCATTATTCAATGCTTTACAAACATCGGATCCATTGATACAATCAATATCTTCATTACATTCATCGTGATCTTGTTTAATACAACCGATGGCGAGATCAGTAGCAGAGCCAACATAACCGGGAATACATTCACAGGTAGCATCATGATTATGTATTTGACATTTAGAATTTGGCCCACATTGAACAGTGGTGCAGACATCGATACAATCATTGATTCCGGAACGGGTAGGTAAACATTTGTAATTATATTTACAATCAAAATCATTCTGGCATAGATTATTGATGACCGGTATATGGCAACCATGAATAAGATCATATGGATCACCATCAAATGATGATTGGCAAAAACATTGTGCTTTATGTTTATGTGTTTTACACAGTGCATTTTTGCCACATTCACTGTAAAGACAAACGTTGACACATTTATGTGTGCTGGTAATTTGATCAAATTTACAAACACTATCGTTTGGACAATCGATATCTAATTTGCATTCATCCGGATTATAGCACATATGGAATGGATCTCCACTGAAACCGGGCAAACACGCGCAATGTGCGCGATGATTCAATGACGAACAGATAGCGTTTTCACCGCATAAAAATTGTTTACATGGATCTTGACATATATTAATATCTTCTGGACCTTGTACACAGATTGCATTGGATGGACAATTTTCATCATTGAAACATTCATTAGTGATTCGATAACAGCCACCACCATTTTGATCACTAGCACGACCAGTAAAACCATCTGGACAGGTACAGGTAACGAAATGTTCATTGGTCAAACAAATAGCATTTGGACCGCAAACATTTACCGAACATCCATCCACACAGGATTTGACACCATACTCATTTAGATGACATACTTGTTCAGTATTGCAATCGGTATTTGATGTGCAACGATCTTTTGGAACACAACCGCGGAATAAATCTTCAGGATTTCCAAAAAAAGATTTCTTACATTTACATGTGGCTGTATGATCGATGGCAATACATTCGGCATTCGGACCGCATTTGATTGATTCGCAAACATCGACACAATCCAGTATACCTTTACGAGTGATTGTGCAGATTTGATCATTACGACATTCTCGATTTGTTTGGCAAATATTTGGCGCACAGGTAGCACCGTTAGAATCACCCGATATACGTGTATAGCCAGCCATACAATCACAATGGGGCCGATGATTTTTTGCAACACAATATGCACCTTTGCCACAAATATGATTGAAACAAATATCCACACAATCTTTTACATTTTCGGTGGTCAGCACACATTTTTTATCCACCGGACATTGTTCATCACGTTGACAAAGATGTTGGCTTGGTGTTTGACATTGTCGTGTGGGAGGGTCCCCACTGAAACCAGGTAAACATTCACAAACAGCTTGATGAGCACGGCCAACACAACGAGCATTTTGTCCGCAACGAATATTATCACAAACATCAGTACAATTTCGAAGACCAGTCAATACACGTCGACAAGCTTGAAATTCAGCACAGCTATTATCATCCGAACAAGTAAGCTGAACTGGTTGACAGCCAATTTTTCCATCATATGGATCGCCGGCAAAATTTGGCCGACACTCACAATATGCTTGATGTGCGCGACCACGACAAACACTATTGATACCACATTGAAAATCTTTACAAACATTGTCACATTCACGATATCCTTGTGAATATGATGAACATATTTCATCCTGTTTACAATCACCATCATCTGTACAAGCGTGGGGACTACATCCTTTGATTAGATCATATGCATTTCCTTCAAAATCTTCATGGCAAACGCATTCTGGTCGTCGTCGTTCTCGTGCAATGCAATGAGCATTTGGACCGCATTCTATGATATCACAGACACTGACACATTGTTTTGAATCTGATCGTGATGGTATATGTTTACAAACAAAATTCGATTGACATTCATCATCATGATCACAAGTTGATGGTAAACGAATTTCAGCAGCACTTGGTGAACAACCAATTTCCAGATCATTTGGATCCCCAGAATGAGCATCGATACAAAGGCATTTTGGTTTATGTTCAATAGTAAAACAGAATGCATTCGGGCCACATTGGGTTGTGTCACATGGATCGATACATTGAAATCCAATTTCCTGGTTGACTAGAGCACATACATTGTTACTATCACATTTAGAATCTTCAATACATCGGTTTGGTTGCACACAAATACCACGGAAACATACAGTGTTTGGTGGGCAATTTGAAGTTGTCGAACAGGAAATACCAACACCATTGATTTGATTTTCATATCCAGGTTTTTTTGGCAATTGGCATGAAAACAAAGGGTTACCCACATAACCGGATCGACAGACACATTGATAACTGCCGATAACGTTGATACAATTGGCATTTGTGCCACAAATATTTCCATGATGATTATCGCAAAGATCTTGTAAACATTCATTAACATCTTCACAGGCAATATATGGATTACCATGGAACCCAGCTGCGCAAACACATTCAACACTTGTTGCACTTTCCAAACAATTAGCGCCGGTACCACAACGAATCCTATCACATCGAGGAATCGTCGTACAAGCGATATATGGATTTCCGCTAGTTCCACTATTGCAGACGCATTTATTCGGCGTATCGTAAGCACAATGACTGTTGAGACCACAACCAGGATAACATGTCGGTGGTGTTAGCAACGGTGGTATCCTATCGATACATACGTGATTAATACAAATTTGATCCGATGGACATGGTAATTGATTCGAACATTTAATTTCCGGCATACAAGCACCCCCGGCCCAAGGATTACCATAAAATCCATTTCGGCATCGACAAACTGGTTGATTTTGTGTGTTCACAATACAATGGGCATTAAGGCCACAATGAAGATTACTACAAGGTGATAAACACCCTTTAACTAGATCATTTCCTTCACCAGAATAGCCGGCAGTACATTGGCAGATAGCTGTATGATTGATGCCGATACAATAGGAATTTGGTCCACAAATAGCCTGATTGCAAGCATCGATACAAACATTGAGCTCTTTGTTGCAAATCGTATCATTTGGACAATCATCATTTGATTGACATATTGATGATCCTTGACATCCAGATTCATAAGCATTGCCAGTACCATCAGAACATTCGCAACGATAACTTCCCAATAGATTGATACAAACAGCATTGGCTCCACAAGGACCATTAGGATCTAATGGCAGCAATGATGTACATTCATTTATATCATGACATCCTTCATTTGGATTTCCTATACAACCAGGCTTACATTGGCAATGTGTTCCTTCATCTTTGTCGAAAATACATTCAGCATTTTGGCCACATTGTTTCCAATCACATGGATGTCGACATGATTGACCATCAAAAATGAACGGTGATGAACATTCACACGAATGATTTCGACATTGATAATTTTGTTCGCAATCAGTATTGGATTGACAATGTTGAACAATACGATCGCAGCCAACTTTACCGATACCAGTATAGCCAACACGACAAAGACATTCATAAGCACCGGGTAGATTAATACATTCGGAATTTGATCCACAAAGATTAAATTCTTGCATTTCTGTACATTCATCGATATCGCGACAGAATCCATTAGCTTCCAATGTAAATCCTTTTGGACAGATACAGAAACCAAATCCTGAACTGGTCATCATACATTCTTGATTCTGTGGACATGGATTAGCATTCGAACAATTTCGGCTAGTCATAATACAATAATCGCCTTCACGAACATATGGATCTTTACAGCCACAATGAACACCATATTGAATATCGTTAATACAAGCCGTATTACCGGGACATTGTTTATCATCATTGCATTCGATTATATCGGGATAACACAATGAATATGCGTTGCCAGTTAACCCATCAGGACAATGGCATGTATAGCCACCATCAAGATTCATACAGAATGCATTCGTTCCACATGGTGATTTTTTTGATTCACTACATTCATTAACATCACGACAGGATTCCGTAACCAAATCACGAACATAGCCACGTTGACATACACATTGATTTATATTATGCGCTGAAATACATTCTTCATTTGGTGGACAGGATAAATTATCATTACATTCGATACGATCTTTGCCTTCCAATAGACATTCAATGAATGGGTCGCCACGATAATCGTGCGTACACAGACATTCAAAAGATCCAGGAGTGTTACGACAGACGGCCAATTTTCCACAAGGATTATTGTTGGCACATTCATCCAAATCTAATTATGAATGAGACAAAAAAAAAATTATTGATCAACAGGTGTGTAATTGAAACATTTTCCGTAACAAATTTAAAATAATAATATTATTATTATTATCATTAAACATACCGACACAGCCAGGAAGACTATTACTTTTGCCAGTATAACCATCAATACATGAACAAACTGGATTTCCGTGACGATCCAATTGACATTTGGCATGCTCACCACAGAATAGATCATCACATGGATGTTTACAATTTTCACCAAAAAAAGGCGGTGGACAATAACATTTTTCTTGTTTACATATCGAATTTCCTTGACAATCTTTATCATTTGAACAGGTTTGTTCCAGAAAGCAACGTATTTTTGGATCACCATAACTTCCGGGTGGACAACGGCAGCTAAAATTACCGAAAGAATTTGAACATATGGCTGAAAATCCACATTTTCCATTTGCACCAAACGCTAACGAGCATTCATCAATATCTTGACAGGATTCATGTGCATTACCGGTCATTCCGGATGGACAAGAACATGAATAGCTTCCCATAAGGTTTGTACAGATGGCATTTTCACCACACTTTCCATATTGCCCATATCGACGATCACATTCATCCATATCTTCACAATAACGGAAAGGATCCCCACTAAAACCAGGGGAACAGTGGCAATGATGACTTCCAATAATATTCGTACAGACAGCACCTTGTCCGCAGAGACCTGAAGGACCATGATCAACATCACATTCATTAATATCCAAACATCCGGCGCTGATATTGCTCGGATTAAAAGTAAATCCTGGATCACAAACACAGGCAGCTTCTTGACCATTAACGTGACAGGTTGCATATTGACCACATTGTACTGAATCACAAGGAGATTGACATCCACTTGTTGCATTTCCAATGAAACCTTCTTTACATGAACATTTGAAATGGCCATCCTGATTGATACATACGGAATTTTCACCACAAGGATATGGAATACGAACACATTCATCAATATCTTGACATTTGCTTTTCGCTGATTGTTGAATTTTTTCGTAGCCAAATTCACAAAAACATTCATAACCACCATCTAAATTTATACAGGTTGCACCTTTACCACAAACATTTTTGTTTGTTCGACATTCATCAACATCGATACACATTATTCCATCGATTCGATAACCAGATTTACATTGGCAATTACCATCAATACAAATAGCATTGGCCGTACAATCGGATTGTTCTATACAATAAACATCGACAGCGGTACGATCACAACCTAATTCAGCATTACCATCACGAGCTAGATATTTATCCGGACATTGACATTGAAATGAACCAATCGTATTCAAACACTTTGCATTCGGTCCACAAGGATTCGTTGAACATTCATCAATATCTGTAATTACAAAAAATGGTTGAGAAAAAAAATCATCATAATTTACATCAAAAATTGGAAAAAACAAACAACATCATTCATTACCTTTACAGCCACGAATAGGATTTCCTGTATAACCTGTTGAACATTTGCATTCATATGATCCTGGTTTATTATAACATAAAGCATTTGGTCCGCAAAGATTTTCTTGTCGACATTCATCGATATCTATGGTAAAAAAAGGGTAAAAGATATGCGAAAAAAATTTTTAAAATTCACAAAAATAATTTTATTATTTATATGAATGGAATTTTGTTGTTTACCTAAACAACCAGCCGAATGATATGGAGTTCCAGTGAAACCAGGCTTACATTGACAACTATAGCTTCCAATATTATTTATGCATATTGCATCAACACCACATGAAGCCGACGGACATTCATCAATATCTGAATATGAGAAAGAGAGAGAAAAAAATTTCAAACGATAAAAAAAGGGTAATTTCACTCATAAATCTTTGTTTTTTCCTTTCTCTTTAAGATTTTTTTTCCATTCTAATGATGATTTTTTATACGATTATTTTTATTATCATCTTCATCATCATCTATCGTGTAATCAAAACGATGATGATAAAGTCATTCAGACACACACACTTTACCTTCACATTGTGTTTTTGGATTGCCAGTGAATCCGGATCCACATTCACAGACAAAACTACCAGGAATATTTATACAAACAGCATTTGAACCGCATATTAATGGATTTTGACATTCATCTATATCGATACAACCACCACCAAGTGCGGTAATATTGTTATTATGATAACCTTCTGGACATGAACATTCAAAGCTGCCGACAGTATTTGTACAGATTGCACCAGATCCGCATGGATTATTTTCACATTCATTCAAATCTAAAAAAATAAAATTAAACACATGAATAATAATAATAATAATAATCAGATTACGAATCATTTACATATAAATAATATATAATATAAAGTACACATTTACCTAAACATTCAATAGATGGGTCGCCAACAAAACCATTGGCACATTCACATGAATAACTACCAGGTATATTGGTACAAATAGCATTCTGGCCACAGTATCCTCCATCTTGACATTCATCAATATCCATACAAGCAATAGTTGCGTTACCAGTGAAACCTGATTGACATTTGCAGACAAAATGTCCAGGTAGATTACAACATTCAGCATTTTCACCACATAATGCAGCCAATGATGGTATTTCACATTCATTAATATCTAAAATAAAGCAAAATGGATAGAAAATGGATTAAATGTTGTTAACAAAATTCGAATAAAGTTATTATATAAAATTTGAATATTTATAGCCATAGGCAATAACAAACAAGAATAATATCTGATGATCGAACATAATATATTCACAATCGATACGTTCAATAATAATGATGATTATTAAACGCCTAACAAATCATAATAATAATGAATGGTTATCAGAACAAAATGTTAATAATCATTCTTCGTAAGAAGATTATCATCATACTGATGATAATAGGAATAAATAACTGTGTTCAAAACATCATTTTTCAAAGCGAAAAAAAAAAAAAAAACATTTTTGATGATATAATTATCCATTTTGCTCGAAATTTCATGCATGTTGTTTCAAGAATTATTAATGATATTATGTTAATAGTTACCTTTACATGAGAATCCATCGCCTTCATATCCTGGAAAACATGAACAATAATAGCTACCCATTGTGTTTGTACAATGGGCAAATACATCACATGGTCGATATTTGCATTCATTTTCATCTGACGTCGTCGTTGTTGTTGTCCAAAAATGAAAATTTAACAAAAAAAAAATGAGTAAAGGAATTAGAATTTGAAGAATGAAAAATGATTTGAGAAAAAAAAAACTAAACACACACACATTCGAATATATGATAATCAGGGATAAGAAAAACGAAAAAAAAAATTTCTTTGACAATTGATTAAGATGGATGATCATGGAATTTTTTTTTCTGTCACAAATCTTTTTTTTGTTTGTTTGTTTGTTAATTATATCATCAAATATTAAAAAAAAATAAGAAAATTCTGATGAAAAAAAACAAAACAAATAAAAATTCAAATATCAATGGTTTGCAAATCAACAAACAAAAAAAAAATTCCGTAAAGAAATCTTTCTGGGGAAAAAAATTGTTACACAACAAATTGTAATCTTTAATTCTGATGAAAATTGAACAATAAAATTATAAATTATAATAATAATAATGATTAAAATAGATTTCATACCTTTAAAAATTACACTGGAACAAAAATCAAATTGATCACAACACAAGCACAAATCATTTGTACAGAAAGTTCGATAACATGTGCTTTTTTAAATTCATTGAATGTATTTTCACTCTTCATTTTCTGCTTGATTCACAGACAACGTACGGTTACAAAAAATTATCCATGAAATTAGCATACAATTTTTCAACAACAACAACAACAAAAAAAATCGAGAAAAAATTCCTCACTTGTTGATCATCCTGATTATCCATCCATTATTTATCATTATTATTGTACAGATGGCCATGATGTTTAGACGGTAATAACACACACACACACACACACACACACATTATAATAATCAACATGATTATCATCAAAAAAGCAGAGCAAATGCAAATGCCAAAAAAAAAAAAAAACTAAAATTTGCCCATCAAAATCAAAAAAATTTTTATTTTTCGGAAAAAAAATAAATAAATAAATTCTTAAAAGTTGAAATAATTCATTCTTGTTTGGTTGTGAATTTTTTTTTTTGTTTACGAACCAAAACAAAAACAAAAAAAAAAAAAAAAGAAATTATCCATTAATTTTAAACACACACAGTTATATAATCAACATCAATTACTTTAACGATAAAAGAGTTGTATAATTGACTATAAATACATGACATGACATGACATGACACCAAATGTTTGAAAGAAAAATTATTCATTTTTTTGTTCTTCTTCTTCTTCTTCTTCTTTCAAACATAAATTACATAATAATCCTGGATTTTTTTTTTTGATGAAAAAAAAATGCAAAAATTTTTCATCATCATCATCATCATCATCAGTCATTTATTTTACACACACACACACACACGGATGATCATGATCATTATAATCTTCTGGTAATAGTCTGATTACTTTTTTTTCGGTAGCTTTTGATGATGAAAAAAAATGTATTCTACGAGCGCGAAAATTTTTTTCAGTTTTTTTTTCTAAAAAAAAAAAATTTCATTAAAAATGAAAAATTAAAATTCTTCAAACCAAATCTAACCTTGCCTAATAATCAGAATAATCACATATACCATTGGATGATCATCATCATAATCAATCATCAAAATTAAGATTATCATATTGAACATTATTATCTGAATGAATAAATCAATTGGTTAGGTTTTCAATTTTTTACTATTTTTTTTCACATGGAAATTTTTCTCTCATGATTTATCGTATACGTTTTGCTTGACTTTTATGCAAAAGTTTATTGTACCTTTTTTTTCATAGGTGACAATTGTTGCTGACAGTTGTCATTCATATTGGATAAATAAATGGAAACATGATTTGTTTAGCCAAATATTTGCTGCTATTATAAGATGAAAATTTTCTTCCCATTTTACTATGAATAGGTTTTTTTTCGGTTGTTTCTATGTTTGTGAATTGATCATCATCATCATCATCATTCTTTAAGTCATTTCAGCAAGGGCGTATTGTTGTCATTGTGTTTTGCATGTGGTTAATTTTGACAATTTTTCTCCCATACATGCTTATACACACACACACACATAGCTAATAGTAATTGTATTCACAAACAAAGAGAGAAAAAAGAACAACAACAACAACAACAACAACAGAAAATATGCCGAAATTTGATGATGATGATAATGATAATTATCAGAAATTGAATATTAAAGAAAGCGACAAAAACAACAACAACGAGAGAGAGAAAAAAAAGAATCTCATTATCATTGAATAAAATAAAAAAAAAAACTTACCTGGTATATCACAACTTTTGCCACCAAATCCATCATTACAATAACAAAGATGATCAAGGCATACGCCATTTGTACATTTAGATTGTTTTGGATGACAATTATCTATGTTGAAGACAAAAAAAAAAAAATTAAATGGAAATAATTAGTAAATATATATTCGGTTTATAAATATGTAAATTGAATATAAAATGTAAATTAGTTATATCATCATCATTGAGATTGCCACTGTTATATTGTCATTAAAATTAACTGTATATAAAAACCGGAAATGGAATCAAGAATTTTAAATTTTTTTTTTGCACACACACACACAAACACACACACACACATACACATATACATACCGTTTATGCATTTTGTACATTGATTACGATCATTACATTTCAATTCTAATGAAACTTCATCAGAACCTTGAAAACATTGAGGTATACCATCACATAGTTTAGATAATTCAAATAATTGTAAAAAATCTGTCGATTCATTCACTTGGCAACCAAAATAACCATCTTCAAGATTTAATACAAATATTTCACGTTGTACATAAGGACTAGGCCATTGTGGACGATATTGTGCATGTACATTGATGGTGGTGATTAAATATTGTGATAATGATGATAATGATAATAAAAATAAAAATTTTAAAATAAAAATGATAAATAATATAAAAATTTTGTTCAATTTTTTCACATGATTATGATGAGAATTTTGTTGTCGTTTTTTAACATTAAATGATGATGATGATGATGATGTTGAAAAATATTGATGTGATTGGTGATGATTAGATTTCATTTCATTTAATGACAATGAATCATCATCATCATCATCATTTGCATATGAATCACTATTATCGACAATTGATGTTTTTGATTCGGCGGTATTGTTGTTGTTGATGATTAATATTGGCAGCTCATTCATCATCATCATCATTATTATTGTTGATGATAATTTTTCTGATAAAAATTGATCATTTATCGATTTTGAACGTTGTGAATGTCGTCCACCAACATGAATATCATCATCATCATTATTGTTATCCATTTGATCACGATCAGGATCGGTTTTTTTTCGGTAGATTCTATTTCCAATGTTTATCCTGTGAAGAAATAGAGAAAGAAAAGAAATTATTTAGACAAGTCAATAAACAACAACAACAACAACAAAACAAATGTGAGAAAAAAAACAAATTTCATTTCATTCTTTATTGCCAATTTTTTTTGTTTTGATTTGTTTTTTTTTAAAACAAATCGGAAAAAAACCTGTTGCACATTGTTGAACCTCAGCATCACACACACACACACACACAAGGAAGGTATTTCAAATCCATCGGAATGCGACAACAATTTTACAAGTGTGTTTTGTCTACGTTTGTTTAAAATAAGTGATTTTTGTTTTGTTTTGTTTTCTTAAAGTTTGACAAAAATCACATCATCATCAATATGGCGGTAATTTCAAGACAAAACGATTATCGTCATAATGATGATGATGATGAAAAATTCAACTCACACACACACACACACACATATATTTAGTTTTCTATTATTTTAATTGCAGAAATATTTTTTTTACTTTCCGGCCAGAATTATTCGATTGATTCATCATCATCATCATCATCATCGATTCGATTATGAATGTTTTTTTTGCTGGGGGGGGGTGATGAATGAAAATTACATAAACACACGCAAATTTTTGTTGTTTGAATATTTGTAGAAAAAAAACAGACAGATAAACAGATAGATAGATAGATAGATAGAGTAGATCAATGTGAATGTCATGTTAGATAAATGGATAATGTTATTATCGCGTGTGTATAGCGTGTGTGTATGTATCATCATCATCATCATCATCATGAATTCAAATCCTTTATGTTCATATGTTGTGTACTGTTTTATAATGAAAAAATTCTTGATTTTTCTCTATTTTTTAAGTTCATCGAATACTTATAATCACGTGTGTGTGTGTGTGTGTGTGAAATTGTTTTTCATTTTCATCTTTGATGGAGAAATAGAGAAATAAAAATTCAAATCTAAAACGTAATATGATATAATGACCATCACCGGTCATTGGCCATAAATTTTTTTATTGTTTGCTGTTTTTGTTTTCTATATATCAACAAATACGTGCTGCTATCATTATAATAATCTAGTAACACTTTTTTTTTGTTGTTTGTTTGTTTATTGTAAACAAATTTTTTAAAAAGTAAATTGTCCGAATAATTTACCTGTCCAATTTATCATCATTATCATCAAAGAAAATATAGAAAAATGAAAAATAATTTTAACCATTCATCCAAGACGACAAATAACGACATATCAAAAAAATAAAATAAAGAATACCCTACTACTTTATCCACCCACTACCAATCATCATTGGTGACTGACCATCACTGCCACCACCACCACCACCACCACCACCATTCATTATTATAATGATAATCATTCTTGGATTCAGTCATATGGTTAAAATAGTAATTGCAGGTAACGGATAACACACATATAATTGATATATATACACACACACAAACATGATAATTTTCATTTTTTTTTCTTCATATTTTGTCACATACACATTGTGTGTGTGTGTGTGTGTGAAAACGAGACAAAAGACATAATCAACACACACACACACACCGAATATAAACATGGACGCCAACAACAACAAAAAAAAGCTGTATATTTGAATATAAAGAAGAAAAAAAAATTCACAATTACAAATCATAAGAAGATGGAAAAGTAAAGAAAAGAAAAGAAAAAAAATTGTCTAAAAGGTCATGACCCTTTTTGGTCGGTCAACATCATCATCATCATCATCATCAAGAATGGTGAAGAGAGAGAGAGAGAGAAGAGAGAGAGAGAGAGAGAAAGATTTTCTTTTCAACCATCTCTGATTTTAAGAATTTTCTTTCTTTTTTTTTCACCTTCTTTATTTGTCAAGTAAACAAGCAATAAAGATCTGGCTAAAGCGTTTTTTTTTTTTTTTTTTTGGTTTGATTTGCTAAAGTGAAATGAAATGTTGAAAAAAAGGCGAGAAAAAAAATTCAAAGAAAATGATTTTCTTTTCGCTTTGCTTCGTTTGGACAGAAAAAAAAGGATTCGTTTTTTTCTATCGCCAATGTATTTTGCTTATTGATTGTGATGATGGTGATGAGGGATGTGTCACAATAAATACGTTGTCATTATCGTTACGGACCAATGGGGATATATTATAACTTGTTGCTGTCGTTATTATTATTATTATTATGTTGTCATCATCATCATCATTATCATTTCTTTTGACAAGCAAAGAATGAAAGAATTTTTTTTTTTGCTGTTGTTGTTGTTCGTTGTTTTGGTTTTGGTTGGTATTAATTTTCAGAATATGACAATTGTTTGAATTGGTTTTTTTTTTGGAAAATTGTGGTGGCGGTGGCTTTTTTTCGCTTGACTATGCTGTTCTGTTGTTGTTGTTGTTGTTGACAATTATGGTTGTATGTTGTGTGTGTGTGTGTGTGTGTGTGTGTGTGTGAAATTCATATCATCATTATCATTTGAGATAAATTTTTTTTAAAAAGAAAAAACCGGCAAACGATTCTTTGTTTAAAAGAAAAACGTTTGTTTACGATTTTTTAGTTGTTGTGACAATGATGATAATGATGATGATGATGGGGTTTTTTTTTGATTTACCTAGCCAATCGGACAATTTATTCAATTTGAATAGGAAAAAAAATAACGATTCAATTCTTGAGAATATTTTTTCAGTTTGTTTTGGTTCATTGATGATGCAATATAATAACTACTACTATTACTACTACTACTACGATTGACATTCTTTTATTTGAAGAATAATGACATAAATTGTCAGCTTGAATTCATCATTATCATCATTATTAAAAAAAAAAAAAAAAAAAAGGTGATAATGACGATGAAGAGAGAGAAAAAAAAATGTAGCTACATCACTTTGGACACATTAAACACGAATCACGAATTTGACGGTAATTTCATTTTTTCATTTTTCATTTCATTTTATTAGCATCATCATAGAAATATTATGCTATAAACATTATAATCATTATCGGCCAAGTATATTATGATCATGATGATAATGATAATAATTTACGAAAGGTGATGTTTTTTTTCGTTGTTGTTGTTGTTGTTATTGCGACCAGGTGAAGGTTATATATCCATCATCATCATCTAATTCAATTTGTCATCATCATTAAAACACACACACACAAAATGGATGATAATGATGATATGAAATGTGGTAAAAAATGAAAAACAATCAACAAAACAAAAACAAAAATTAAATTGAGCAAAAAAAAAATCGAACAAACATTGACATTCGAATTCGATAATATCGATGTACTTGAAATAACATATTCACATTCGATTATTGGATGTAAATATTCGATGAAAACTGAAAAAAAAAAATTTTTCACAAAATGGACAAATAATAATATCATCATCATCATCATTATCATAACAAGATTTTTGTGTCTTTCAAATTCTTAATGATGATAATGGTAATGGTTCGATGATGATGATGATGGGTGATGGTTTTCCATGTAAGTATATATTCTTTGATGATTATTATTCAACTATGATAATGTTCTTTTTTTATCTAATGTCTTGATATATCTTTTTTTTTCATTTCAACAAGTGTGCGAAAATGCTTCGGGACAATTCATCCAAAACAAAACATCCACAACACACACACACACACACTCACACACATACATTGATTTCGGTAAAATTGCTTTATTTTCAATGATCACCATCTCATCATTAACTTTGAAATTCAAAAAAAAAAAAAAAAAAAAGAAAAAAAATTGTCGAAACAAACAAACAAACAAAAAAAATCATCATCATCGTATCTTATTTTCAATTCGATTCTCAATCCACTCACTTACTCAATGACTCAGTCAATGCTTATGGGTATTATTTGCATAATTGCATCTTTTTTTTCACTTACAGGTTCCCATCACCATCATCATCATCATCATCATCAAGGTACTTTTTGCACTCACAGTATATTTACTGGTGATGAAGAGGAAAAGAAAAAATTCTCATCAAAAAGAGACAACAACAACGACAAAAAAACACACACATTTTATCTTTTGTGATGATCATCAATGTCTTCTCTCACTCTTTCAACAGTATTTTTTTTTTTTTTTATATATTCCACCAGAATATTGATGCGGCTTGAATTGTTCAGATATAATTATTTTTGTTTGTTTGTATGCCAATCATCTCAAAATGATTACCCCTTCATCATCATTTGTTTAACAAGAAAAGATTTTTTTTTGCCATCTATGAATTCCCGGCGCATTTCATTGACGCATCCATATATCATCATATATCAAAAACAAAAACGAAAAAAAAAAATTACAAGGCAGCTGTGTTGTGTATAATATAACCATTTTTAGGCATTTAAAAATACATCAATCATCATCATATAAATGAATCTTTTTTTTTCTCTCACACTTAAAATTACCTTGTGGAACAGAATAATTATCATTGAAATATATCTAATAATAATAATAAAAAAATCCTATCCCATCACAATGAATGATGATGATGATGATCAAAAGATAAGATAACGGTTAACCTTACCTGTATGTTTTGTGTGTGTGTATCGTTCTTTATGAACAGGAAAAAAAACAAATATTTATATTGTTGTGTGATATGAATCTTTTCATTTGAAACTTCCTTTATCATCATCATCATCATCATAAAACTAATAAATCACAGGCGGCAAAACAATTGCGTGGTCATATGCGTGTGTGTTTGTGTGCGTTTCAGGATCGATTCAGAAAATCAAAATCAAAAAAAAAAAAAAAATAAAAATAAAAATTCGTTCATATACAATATACACGCACGCAAATGTCAGAATGTTGATGTAAGATATTTTTTGGATCGTTTGAAATAGCTACAGTAAAGAAAAAAAAAAAAACGAGGACAAGGTCGCAAAGATATTTTTGATCGTTTTTATTATGAATCTCTACTACCACACGCATACACACAACATTCTATTCTTTCATGTCATAACGTAATAATCACATATAGAAATAAAAAATAAAAAAATTTGTTTTGTCAGTCAGACAACACCTGTATGAATATGAACAAATAGTTTTATCATTGGATCTAATATTTGGACAATTTTATTTACTTTTTTTTGTGAACCACTACCAAGTTTTTTTTTGTATCTGGTCGATATACATATTAATTATGACATTTTTTCTGATGACAATCAAACATATCATCATTGAACATAACTTGGAAAAGAAAACTT